ATTATTTTTCAAAAAAAAAATATATATATATATCAAAGATTAACTGAAAATTAAAAAGAAAATAATAGAGTCTAATTTGTTGACCCGACCCAGGAGACGAAGACCGTTAAATTACGTGACTTATTGGGTCGTTTTACTGAATGGGGGCCCCAGTAAACCAATAGGTGGAAGGTGCTTAGATACTGCCCGAGTGACTGTGCTGCAATGTGGTTTTGACGGTATCTAGTCCGCCGATCATGGACCGTCCATTTCTTTCCAACTGGTTACGTGCATGATTATTAATTGATGAAGGACGCAGACACTTTTAAAGCAAATTAAAAATGTAGTAATCTAATTTATTAATTAGAAAATAATTAAATGAAGTTTTTCAAATTATTGTATAAGAATCTACACACATTAATTAATAAAATGTATCCGATAAATACTTATGGTTTATTATTTATTTATTTCAATGTTTAATGCTGCTTGAAAAATAATTTTATGGCTAATGTACTATATATATATATATATATATATAAATACGTTTTGCACGTGGGGCTGCGAAGTGCGATACGTACGCTTTGAACGTTATATTTGACAGCACGATTTCCCTATAATTACTAGAATGCCCTTCGCCATTCTCGTTTAATTCTGGAAATAATGAATATTCCTGACACATTACTATAAATAATGTCGTCATAATTTAATAAAAGTTTTAAACGAATTAAAATAATCAATAAGAATATTCCCAAAAAAAAAATATATGATTTTTTAACGTCATTAATCTTTTTATTTCCAAGAAAATTATTATTAATATATTTGGTGGGTGAAAAGATAATAACTCTAGCACTTTTTTTTTCACACTTTTTTTCCCCAGAAGCAGCAAATCTGATGTAGGACCGACAACTTAAATCAAGCAGTATAATTAATTAATAAACTTTGGCTCTAGATTCCATTTATAATCGCAACTTTTGGCTTTTAATGTACATACATATTATATTAAAATTAAATAAGAACCGTTGAATAATATTTTAATTATGTTGATATTTAGGCGACATGCCATTTTCATACTAATTGCCTCGCAGCGGAGAGACAGTAATTAATCTCTCTAAATAATTATAAACGTTAATTATTGCTGGGTTCCTCTCCCAATCAAACTCTACTTAATCCTCCTCCTCATCGTTCATAATATATAAGTTAATCAGCTATTACACAGATTGGTTGCCTGATTAAACAATTAATTAAAAAACCTTAATTAATTAACGTATATTATCAGTCAGGCAAAAGAGGTCGGTAGGTAGGTCCTGGAAACTAAAAGCACGCTGCATGTATTATTATTATCACTATGTTACCCAATAGCTGCTTCCATTAACCATATATATATATTAAAAAATATTTAATTATAATATTTTTAGTAATTAAAAATGCATATTTAATCATTCAAATATCTATATAGAAGAGGTACAAAGTTGGAATACAATTCGAGCTTTTAATTTCTATTATTATTATTATTATTCTTTTACACAATAATGAATGTTGTTGAATGTTAATATTGATATGTCCGTCCTTTCACTGTATAGTCAGTCTACATGCAACGTTTTTATATTTATATCATTCTGTCCCAGTGAGCTATACGTGGGGTGGGCGACAGAGACAAAGCTTTTCAATTATTCATGTCACCCACACACACACACATATATATATATATATATATATATTACGATATAATATCAACCGTGCAATAAGAATAAATAAAAATATTTTTTTAAAAATTATTAACTTTGTGTACTAATATATATCTCCCGTCTCCAAGCTTTTGAAGAAACTGAAGTTAATTTTCCATATATAAAGTAATTAATAATTATTATATTTTTTTCTTTGTAAAAAATTATAAATTTGAAAGTAAAAAATAAAAATTTATGTACCGCATTATTTAGATGATATTTAAATAAAATGCTTGATAGATCTTCACACGTGCGTATATACATCTGTTTATGTATATATATATATATATATATATTATAAGTATATTTTCTCAATAAGTACCGAACATTAATATTCAAAATTGTTTAAGATTGCAAACGTGGATTTGTTAGCCTTCAGGAATTGCGTACAGGTTTCATCCATATATTTTGATACTAAATTCCAAGCCGGAGTTTTCTTGTTGACATGGAAATTCTCGTTAAAAAGAATAATATATATATACACACACACACGCATATACACATTTCTCTCAAAATATGTTTTTCTTGGAACACAAACGTAATTTTAAAATGAGGAAATATTTAGAATGAATTCAACATGGGCTAGGAAATTAAACAAGTACGATAATATATAATAATATTTAAACAAGTGGATCAATTAACATATATATGTATGTATATGTATATGCATAGACACAAACATTGTATTATACATATTTGACTATACTTAACCTACATATCATGCAATGTATTATTCAATGAAAATATATTATGAAATAGCAACTACATACATACATAGATATATATATATAACAAAAACAAATGAGAGCATGATCTTACTTGTCACGGCGGCTTTTGGTGTTGGATCTGATGTGATTTATATTCCTAAACATTAATTTAATTTGTTTGGCTACAACTGTTAATTAGACGTGGAAAGTGGGAATTCTCTTCCAATTTTCTGTAATTTTAATTTAGTTTCCCGATCCGAACGAAGGAGGAGGAGGAGGAGGAGGAGGAGAATAAAAAAGGTTTCCTGTTTTAGTAGATTCAAAGAGTGGAGAGGGAGAGACGCAAACACCAAATTATCGACTTGATAGAAATCCTCTTCAATGTAACGTAGGCGGCGGCATGTACGGATTACACACAGCATAAATTTCATTGAAGAAATTCTTTTTTTTTTTTTTTTTAAAGAATTAAATTAAATTAAGAGAAATACGTGAATAAATCTCCTTTTTGTTCTTGAAGATCTTCAAGTCGCTTTGGTTTCTCTAACATTTCTAAGTTTTAGGCCTCTTTGTCCTCTGAAAGTACTGAAAAACCAAAAACGAAAATGTCTTAATAAATGGAGCAGTTCTAACTGGAACAAGAGTGGGTTGTGAATTATTTGGAGGCAGAAATATAAAGAGGTGTAGGTTTGAGTTTTGTGTAAGAAAAGAGAGGTAGATTTAAAGATTTGGGAATTCTTGGGGAATGATAGATTTGCAGATTACCCACTGTATAGAAAATTACTTTTTTTACTTTAGCTTATCTTAAGTGCAAGGCATGTGCCTCCACTGTCAAATTAGCATTTAATTTTTAACAGAATGTTCTATTTACTGCATGGATGTAGTCCAGGGACAAGGTCTTAATTTAGATCCTCCAAATACAATACATAATAGTTTTTGCAGCTTGCCCACATTGCTTTTAAGTCTATTGTTAATTGAGATTCTCCAAAAGTAAATACATACTAGTTTTCGTAACTTCCCCTTTTTTCTTTTGTCAGTTATTGTGTTAATTATATGCAATGAAATTCATCTGGTAGTTGAACTACTATGACTATGGCTCTAGCATTTAGCACTTACACATTTTGGGTCCTCCGACAACTTTTGATTAACTGCTACTATATCCCCCAACTGTGGCTAGTCCCACAAGGGTTTCAATACTATAGGAACCTCTCCTATTCTGCAAGGGGGGAAAAAACCCATAGATCCTGTTTCTGTTCATTTGAACTTAGGTATTACCTTTAGCTCTGTGAACATTGTTTTTTCTCCTTAGCATTCATCAACTTGTTTAAATGTGTTGAAAATTTTGATGAATAATGAGAGGAAAAATAGTCCTTATAATGGTTCATATTCACATTATAAATCAAATTTAACAAAAATGATGATAGAACTGAAAGCCTGTAATGAATTGCTCAAGGATCTCAACTTCCTACTTGGTAGTTCAGGGACCTAAATGATGGAGTCTGCAGTATTGGAGAAAACATTTTCTAGTATCTTACGCAGGTTTATGAGCCAATGATGTTTCCTCTTTGCACTAGTTATTGGCAGAGCAAACTTCCCTGGTGTCATCATAAAACGGAGGCTTGTAGGCTAAGCATGGAATTACCATCATTGTTACTATGGCTCTGATTTGCCTTTCAATCCAAGATGTGGGACTGTGGGAAGATTGAATGAATGACTGGAATGTTAACTTGGGACCTAATGTTATTTAGGCTGTGTTTGGAACAAGTGAACTTAACTTAAGGAGGGTGAGGATACAAACCCCTCACAAAATGAGAATTGAGACAGTACATTGACCTCTTAGACAATTATAAATGTACTTGAGACGATACATTTCGAATATCACTAATTTAGATGGAATTTAAAATAGATTGTCTCAATTCTGCTTAGAATTATCTAAGAGGTTCATTTTATCATTGTACAAGGGATTAGCATTATTTTATAATTAATATAAGTGACAGTATTCTAATGAACTCCATAAACCAAAAATGAGTATTTTACCTTTATAGATTGATGATAGTGCCTCATTAGCTATATTTGGTGGTGTTATGTTAGAAATACATGGAAGGTTAAGCTGCAAAATCCTCTGTTCAATGTGTTAACAGGTTCGTACTTTTAAAGGTCATCAAAATGAGAAGAACTTTGTAGGTCTCACCGTCAATAGTGAGTACATTGCATGTGGAAGCGAAACCAATGAAGTATACGTCTACCATAAGGTATTCGAAAATACTTTAAAACAACTTAATTCATGCATTTTCTCATGGGAACTAACTCTGAGTATTTTTGGTACTCTGCAGGAAATCTCCAAACCTGTAACATGGCACAGATTTGGTTCACCTGACACAGATGATCATGACGAAGATGCAGGATCTTACTTCATCAGTGCTGTGTGCTGGAAGAGCGATACACCTACAATGCTAACTGCTAACAGTCAAGGGACGATCAAGGTGCTGGTGCTTGCAGCTTAAATCAATCTGAAAATGGAAGATAGATTTAAGATGAGAAGAAAAAGTTGCATTTGAGTTAAACATCTTTACTTTGGTCTATTCTTGATTATGATGGCGTTCCAGTGTATATAAATGATCTAGTGTGAAGAAAGATAGATAGATGAATAGATATCAGTTTTTTTTTTTTTTTTTTTTTCATGTAAATTTTTACCATTTATAGGGTTGTTAAAATATACAGGCAACCTACCCTGATATGTACTATTATTTTACTCCTGGTTAAAGTTAATTCATTAGTGCCACTGGCCTCCTTTAATGGTGTAGTAGTTAAAATTAATCCTTCTTTTCTCTCTCTTTGTGAGAGTGGTTTGAAGCTGTCCGAATCTGTGCTTGAGATGGTCGTCCCTGGCAGTTTTTTTGAATAAATATTTAGCAATGGATTTGATTTAAGTTTGGAAAATCACTAGACCATAATGGCAAAGTTACACACTGCTTGTGGCTCGATTTTGTATTGTAATATATATTCTTATTACAATTATGTTCTAACGTCATTTTTATATTATTTTATGAAGAAAATTTCTGTGTTTGACTCGTTACGAATGATTAAAAAAAAAAAAGGAAAGAAAAAAGTTAAAAGATTATAAGACAACTAATTTCAAGAAATAACAATGTTATATAAAATGGTAAGAAAATAAACTACATTAAATTGCAATTAAACTATTTCGGGGTAAAATTATAATTTAATCTCTCTTTTTTTTTTTTTTTTAAATCTTTTATCTTATCTTTTTAATGTCTTGGAGTTAGTATAATATAATATTTAATCTACCCTTCCAAGGTATGATAGCGTCACCCATTACATTAATAAAAAGTAAAGCTGAGGTAGGCGGGTTTCCTGTGTACGGATTTAATATTTTTATGTATATGATCTGTCAAAAAGAAAAGCAATTACATAATTACTAATTACTTATATATATACATATATACTGTAGAGATTTAGAACAATCTCATGCAACGAATGCAGACTTTTAGAACTTTGTGTACTCTTTCTAAGCTCGGATTTTGAAGATCATCATTTTCTACGATATTACTTTAGCAGTAAATTTTTTGAACCTTTCTTCTTGCACTTGTTGTCATGAAATACTTTAGAAGATAAAAGAAGGAAAGAAATCGGAGCAAAAAGAAACTCACACCTTCATAAATACGTGCATATATATATATATGGATTAAGCATTACAGAAGTAAGAAAATTACTATTAAACCAGAAGAAGATGGCCACCGACGTACGAAAAACATATTGTGGAAAACTAAGATATATATATAACTAGATAAATAATAAATGCATCTTTATTCACTTCTGTTCTTTCGTTTATATGGTTCCATGCATACACAAGTAAGATAAGAAATTAAACTACATATATATCTCCAAAAACCAGATCATGCATAGACATATATAGATATATACATATCATAAATATACGTATCGCACTCACAAGAAAAAGAACTTAAGAAGCAGCTCAGGAGGGATAGAAGGAAGAGAAGAAGTTCCATGAACCCAGAATGTAACTCCTGCTCTCTCAGCTTGTTGAAGAGCAAAGGAAGTTGGCAGGAAACAGATGGTCTTATTGTTGGACTTGCAAGGTCAAGAAAACTGGAACGCCCGCCATTGGGTTCACCGGAAATAATAGGAGGAGCAAGAAGAATAAGCTCAGGAGAGATACCGCCATGTCCTCTACACCATTACACCTGCCAGCTTTGATAATTCTGATCTGACACTAATCTGCAGGTTTTGATGGAGAAGACGATGATCATGATAATGATCTGCAGCTACAACAACCGTGACCATTGAGAGCGAAAACGGCAGCAGAGCCATGTTGATCATAGAGTAGGAACAAAGGCCACGCGTGGTTGAAGTGCCATGGTAGATGAAGAAGATATAGTCGTCTGTGTTTGGTGTGTGTGTGTGTGTGCATATATATATATATATATATATGTAGAAGTGTTTTGGGGGGGGGGGGGGGGGGTATGAAATAAAGGGGGAGGGTATAATTGGGTGGATGACATAAGAGGTAGGGCTGATGTGTCATTTTCTTTAAACAACGAAAGGATTCAAAGAGACAAGGTGGATGATAATGAGAGTTTGTATTTTTATTTATTTTTTATTTTCTAGGGATTCGAGATTCCCAATAATTTTTGCCTTTTTAAAAAAAAAAACAAAATTATCATTATTTTTCGGAATATTAATTTTAATATTTTTATTAAATAAAAATACACATCATTTCATAACGAGAGTTTGTTTTCTAAGGATTGGAGATTTCCAATAATTCTTTGTCTTTTTTAAAAAAAAAAATTATCAAATACTAATTTTAATTTTTTAAATAAAAATAAATATCATTCTATAATTAAATAAAATATATACATTTACTAGGATATAATATTAAAACAAAAATATATAATTTAATTTTAAACTCTAAAAAAAATTAATCTTTGAGGCTGGGAGTTACATAAACCCTAAACTAAAGGGCTGAAGAAGTTACTGCATGCGACCAGAACAATCAGAGAAAACAAAAAAGATTATTCAGAGATCAAAAACGAACGAGGAAGATAAGAAATTAAATACCCTCATTCAATTTTCTGCAGTATCAAGTTTTGACCATTCTTTCATGAATTCAATTGCTCTCTTCTCTTTACAGTTTACAATTTACACTCTACCACATGCATATTATATACATATACACGCAAACACACAGCACAAATACAGACATATATCATATGGGTGTGTGTGTGTGTGTGTGTATATATACATATATATATAGAGAGAGAGAGAGAGAGGGAGAGGGAGAGATGGAGTGTGGATTAATTGATCACAGTCCAAAATGACCCGTATATAAATATACATATATAAAGTCAAAGTCACTTTCCTGAGACAGAAAAGAAAGTGAAAGAACATAAACAAAACCCTAGGAGTATATAGCTACATATGGGGTATATTCCACAACTCTCCCAACTTTATTTGACTCTGCCTCTGCCATTTTTTGTCTCTCTGCAAATTAACCCTAATTACCATATTCATACAATACAAAGAGAGCAGTACATAGGGCAGTAGTAATCTACCCCTCTAATTCCCATGTCCTATATACATGTATACGTACACCCATATATATATATGTATATATTTATCAGGTCATAATTATCAGTGCAGTGAAAGGTCAATTCAGATGGGTCATCTGTGCCTGCTCCCTGTTATTTAATAAAATTGCAGCCAATTACCGTATGTGTATTAATTAATTATATATTTCATTTGTACGGTAAGAAACATACCCTACACAAATACACAGTTTTGGTTATATGACTGTAATTTGATTAACAAGACACTGTAAACATACATGTGTTGCATGTATTGAAGTTGACAGCAGCATATATAGCAACAAAATGACATTTATGAGAAGTCATCATGAGGTTATACGTCAAGATGATATATGTCATTTCCATTTGAATAATTATATACGTTCATATATACACACACATATACGCATGCAGGCCGCACTTAATGTCTTTTCTATATATATGCAAGAATCACTGCGATTTGCCGGGATACTCATCGCTGCACGCCCACATACGCACATATATCTTCTATACATCTCCCGTGCGTCATGAAACCACACATGGCTAACCTAATTAACATACATTCACTAATTCATTTTCTTATGGAATAAATTTATAACGTATTCTTTTAGGAAGGTATTATATATATATATATATATATGTAAACCACATTAATATATTATTCCTCCTCTCGGGCGAACTATTTTTTTTTATAAAATAAAATCTTTACTGAAATAATGTCTCAGACTCTTACGAAAATTTTGTCACACTAGATATTAATGTGTGTGTGTGTGTGGGAAGTGGTTCCTTGTGAGGGCAGTGGGTATAGGTCGAAGTTGTATGTATAGGTAGTTCTTCGAAGTGTAATTGTATTAACGTAGCTCGGGAAAATATGATTATTTGTTATAGTATATATATATATATATTGTTTAATTAACAAGTACATATATTTTTATTAAAAAAATCTATAAATAAGAAATTTACTTTTAACTTAAAATGAAAATTTGAATGTAATTAATTAGAGGTAAAAGACTCATGTGTATTTTGTGTAAAACTCTGTACAAATATATTTTTCGTTTCGAATCATTCTAAATTTAATCACGTCATCAATCAGCGATCAATTTATATTAGCAGATAAATTAACTGAATAATTTTAATAATAATCATAATTAAAAACGTTGACTTGTTTTCCTAGTAAAAAAAAAAAAAAAAAAAAGCCCATTAAGTTTGACTCTTCTTGAATAAGATTCCAAAACTTGCGGCCTATAATCCCTCCACTAAAATGGGCTTCCTCCATTTCTTTACACTTTGAATTCTCTTTTTTGTTGTATTTAATTTTGATTAATTTATTTAACCTTCAAATTTGTACGTACATACCCAGATGAAGAAGTATTCGTGATAAAAATATTTTCTCGTATTTGTTTTGAATGTAATTAGATTCATTAAACTGATAATTAGATAAGAATATATTAAAATTTCAATCAATTAAAAAAATATGCGTATAATAATAAAGTATTAACCATAGTTAAAACTTAAGCAATCAACATTAAAGTTAAACAGCTTGCGTTGGTGGGCCCACATTCCCATAGTGTACGCAATTTTCCGTGTGAGCATTAATTTCAGATTAAGACATTCATCAAAACCCAAACCATCTCTCACTTTCTTAGAATATTTATTTTGTTTCATATTTTTTTGTAAATTATTTGAATTTTCAGTATTTCTTCATTTATATTCGACTTTAAAATTTGTTTAAAGTAGGATCAAATTATGTAGAGAGTTAGTTGAAAACTTACACAAAGTCAACGAGCATTTAGTAATGGATCTTCATAAACGTTGCATGCGCTCTTGTTGACTTTTTTTTATTTAGTTTATTTTATAGGTGAGTAAAAAGTCAAACTCATTTGGTAGAACTTAAACCAAATAATTGAATATTTTTTAAATTTTAGTTTTATAATTTTTTTATAAAAATTTGAAAAATAGTGATCCTTTTTTAATATAAAAAAAATGAAAAATCCAATTATCTGCTCATTAAATAATTCTGGATTGAAATTTTGGTCACATATCGTGATATATATATATATATATATAGGTTTCCTGTAACGACTTCAACATTGTATATTTGCCACGTATTTTATCTATATATATATATATTTTCCATATGATCGTAATAGTTGTTGTAAATTCTTTAGTCTTAAAATAATATACAGCGGTCTATTTATTAAAATGAGAGGAGTTTAGTTTTGATATATATAAAAAATTAACTTGAGAATTTTTAAATGTTAAAGAAATTTATAGTAAATTATTATGTAAAAAGTTATATGTATATAAATGTTTGACTCAGTGATTACATATCTTAATTAGTTTATTAGGTTACTAATTAAAAAAAAAAAAATCACCTTAACATTTAATTTTCATCATACATGCATATATATGTGTGTGTGTGTGTGTGTATATCTCCAACACCTTAAAAACGTAAGGTGTTACATCACATGTGAATTACACCTACTCCCTTTGTATAAAATAAATAAACTATATATTATGCGTAGCCATGAAAAACTTTGAAATACTAGAAGCCCAAAATTAAAGAGATTGTACAAATACATGTATATACATATGCTATCAAGTGATCAATTAGGCAGATATATATAATATATATATATATATGTATATTTATATACATCACATATATATGGTCAACAAAGAAGTAGTTAAATTTGTATTGACAAATTACAACACTAATAATTGTAAGCCCTCACGTAAAGAAGAAAAATATTTTTGCTTACTCAACTTGATCACTTATATTTTGTCAACATAAAAGTTGTTATATATATATATATATATGTATATACACATACATATTAACTTACACTTGCTTTAGTTGGTGGATCACACCACCCAAACATGAATCACTAGTGTGTGTGTGTGTGTGTATTTATATAATATTTGGAAATTAGGTTTAAGGGTGGGGACCGACATAAATTAAAGATAGATATTAATTAAAGATGGAAAAAGGAAAAGAAGACCAGCCGAGTGCCATAAAATAAACTTGAAAAAAAAAAATTAATTAATTAATTAATTTTTGGTGGTTCCTGTTTAAACAAGTTGAAATATACATGTATGTATATATATATATATATATGGACATTTATTAAATTAATTCACAAGTTTGGCTGGTCTGGCAGTTGGCCACCTTTACATGAAGGGTATCTTTCTATATGTAGAATACGTTTAAGTGTGTAAATATTTGGTCATCTAATAATTAAAAATATATTTGTGACGGTTCTTACAGAAGCTTTTATTATAATTATATATTGTGAATGTGGGTTCTCGCAGTTTCCTTTTTTTTTTTTTTAGAACTTTTGGTGGACGGATCTTATTTAACGTTGTTTATAATTGGTTAATACTAAATTCTAAATTAATAAACTAATGATAATATTACTTTATCATTGGCTGATTCCAAGAATATTCAGAATTTCTTTTTTACCTTTTCGCAAAACTATAAATTTAACTAGTTACATATATATATATATATATATATATATTAAGAACCGAATATAATAATAATTATTATTAATTCAATAATTAATATTATATTTATATAATATCACTTAAAGAAATATAAATAATATATACTTAAATTTTATTTAGATAATAGTTCAATAATAATAATATAATTTTTTAATAATTTTTATTTATATTTTTAAATACATAATATAATTTTTTAGTAGTTAAATTATAATTTTTAAAATTATATATTTTTTTTTTAATTTTTTCAAACTACCAGTTCGATAAATTTATGATGATTTAATAATTTTTTTTTTATATTTTTAATTTTATTTATTATTTACAATATTATCTTTCTCTTTAATTTTTTTATTCCATATTTTTTATATAAAAAAAATATATTTATAGATTTAATTATATATAAATATATGTATATAATATATCTAGATATATATTTTATATTTTTACTTATACATTATACATATATATAATATTTTAATTATATATATGTATATAATATATTTAATTGTGTATAATTTATATATAAGGTCATATTTATTATTATTATTATTATTATTATGTACAATAAAATTAAAACAATTATATTATTTTATTAATTTAAATAAAAATAATTATCACTATCACATAATTATTATTTAAATAAAATTAAATTTAAATATTAATAAATTTTTGTACAAGTCATCCGATTTAAGGCGTTAAAAGTGCTAAGATGGGTACAGATTTGGATTTAGTATTTCAAAATACGTATGAAATCGACCTACTATTTATATAATTATATTTATTATAATAAATATTTAATATATATTGTTAAAAAAAAAAATGACTTGGTAATAATTTTTTAGAAAGAAAAGTACGTGGCGCACCGTTCCAATCATCGCTACGAAACAAAGGCATATTCTTTGGAATGTCCTCTTTTATCCCTTTTCAATTTTTTTATTTCGGTAAAATAATATTTCATAATTACCTCCGACTCCCAATTTTATTATTATTATTTTTCAGGTCGACCCACTTATCTTTTTATAATATTCACGTCCACTACATCTGGGCTCCTGTTACATGTGATCTTCACCAGTTGATTTATGTAACACGCGCGATCAAGTATTCCAAATCAGCGGCTGCGATTAGTTTTCTTGCTCGCGGCACTGTCACATGTGCTTTTTTCCAATTGGGAAACAGGAAGCAAAGTTTGAGGGAAGTGTGAGCGACGCGCGTGTTGGACGACTGGTACCACGCTCTATGTTTAAATGAAACGATGTAAGTTTGAAAATTATTTAAATAATATTAATTTTTTTATAATATCGTTTGTGTATTTGTTGTAATTTGAATTCTTTGCGGTTCTAAAGCATTTTTTTTTTATTTTTATAAATTTTATTTATTTAATAGAATATTCTTAAAAAAAAAAAAAAAACCAATAATTAATCACTCATCTGATTCCAATTAAACATTTTTCTGGGTAATAAATTTTGACCATTTTAATTTTGAAATGCTTAATTTGGTAATTGACGGAGCTGCTCGTTACTTGGGAAAAACAAACAGTGAAGTTTCGTCACGACACGCCAAAGCATGCGTGTCTTACTTAGTCAAACCACTCCTCCATTTTCATTTTTCAGATTATTATTTTTTTAATTTTCATTTTTAAATAATATTCAAAATATTAATAAGCAAATACCAAATTAAGATTTTTTTGAAATTTAAAATTATTATTTTCATTTTTTTAATTTTAAAAAATTGGTCTCTATTTCTCTCTCTGTGTCTCGGAAGTGTCGCTTATATAAAGCGAGATGGGCAGACGCAGCAGCAAGCAGCAGGCAGCGAGCAGCAAGCAGCAGCAGCCACCCCCTCTTTATATAACTACCAGCGCCACCAGTTTCAGTTCAAAAACTCACAAACCGATTTCGCCTTTTTCCCTTTTTTCTTTGTTGTAACTGTCATTTGCCAAAAACGACTCACTATCAGAATCCACACACCCACTTTTCCCTCTTCGTCATCGCCATATACATATACACTCACATATATCTACACATATAAACCATACCTGCCTTATATTTAATCCAAATGAAAGTGGATAAACCCAATCAAGAGGAACGAAACGATCAGATGTGCAGGAGAATCGAGGTGGACGTCGTCGTCGACCAACGCGACTTCCTATCTCCGGAACCAGAATTACTTCCCGTCGCAGGAGAGGACCTTTCATTCATTCCTCCTTTGAACTTCTCTATGGTCGACAATGGTGTCTTCAGGTCTGGTTTCCCTGACTCCGCCAACTTCTCGTTTCTTCAAACACTTGGTCTTCGCTCCATCATGTAAGCATTTCCTCTTTTCCTCATACACACATGTTTTTTTTTTTTTTTCTTTTGTGCGGATATATATAGTGATTAATTTAGGGTTTTGGCTTTCCTTTTGGTTGTGTGTGAAGATGTATGTGTCCGGAGCCATATCCGGAGGCCAACATGGAGTTCCTTAAGTCTAATGGAATTAGGCTTTTCCAGTTCGGCATTGAAGGTTACAAGGTCAGTCTTAAGCAAATTCATCATGTTTTTTCTTCTCCTTTATTCTTTGCCGCTTTAGAGCCCGAAAATTAACCAGAGGAATCGGTTTTAGCTTCATCAATCAACTGTGATTTTGATCGTCTGCATTCAACTTTGTTAAAAACATTATTAGCGATGCTATTTCTTGTGTTTTCATTTAAAAAAGTTCTTCAAGATAAGATCGGAGCTCGGATTCTGTCCAAATTCCGGACGCATTAATATGTTATAGAAGTATTGCTGTAGTTGTACTTGGTTTCAAACTGGATGCTGGTTGTTTTGATTGCTTTGCCAAAAACACTCTGAATGGTTTGATGCAAGAAGGAATAGGGACAATACAATTGGTTAATGTTAATCACATTTACCGAGTAATAAATCTTAATCAGTTTTCTGATAACTCTTTAGTGGACGATAACACAGAATAGGATAAATTATATGGAATATGAGAGATAATAGAAAGTGAGACCTGAAATCAGGATGTCAGTCTTTTAAATAATTCACTAAATTATAATCATTGTTTCCAAAAGCTAAGATAGTAGGGAAGGGTCAATTATTATTTTAGTTTGTTTTAACACATGAAATAATTTTTTTTTTTAATAGAAATTCATACATTTTAATGATCAGATAACACTTGACACTACTTATAACATAACTAATAATATCACGGTATCATGAGGAGAACATAGGGGATGCACAACCCACTTGAACCCACACCCTCCTAGAAAGGGGGTGGTTGTACCAACCATCCGGTCAAGAAATAGTTGATACATATGAAGTATTGATTGTGTTGAATATTTACAGGTTTTTATTATAACTTGCAGCATTTATCATTCGTACTTCAATATGCATTTGCAACAACATTGAATCAGTAACGTTCAAGTTGAATTGTTTTACAAGTTAAACTGTTCCGTTTGTGTATTAGTATTGAAAGTTTAAGCGGGCTTGGGACTGCATCCATCAAAACTTTCACTTATCTTCTTTTTAATAGTCATTGTAAATTAATTTTTAGACATTTATTTAACTAAATAATGGTGATTTGTTTAAAAACAAGTCAGGTATATTTCTTTCAAAAGAAAAGTCAGGTATACATTTTTTTATTTTCAATATGTTTTAGTTCCTGATTTCCTGTTCATTTTGCTATATATGCTAGTTATATTTGTGCATGCGTGCACTGTTTCCTTTTTTTTTTTTTTTGAGTAGCATGCATAATTTCACTAGAAAAAAATAAGTTTCAAATATACATATATGTAAGTTTTGATAAATCTATAGTACTCTCTGAAGAGTAATACACTCATCTTCAATTAGTAAGACTTTTTTTGTTTATCAGTTCTAGTTTAATGGCTATTAATAAAAATTAAAAAATTACAGCTGAAATTATACATGGCACAATACTCCTAATTTAAGTGGGGCACCATATGTTACCATGGATGAAATCATTTTAGATTCCTGACGTGCTGAATACCTCCTTCGGTGCTCTCTGAATTATTTCATGCAAGCTTCCTCTCAAATATTTATTGCTTGAATCATTTAAATTAATCACTGGCCAGATGCTTCCACCAGCTGAAAACTTTAAATTGTGGTATGGTAAATACACGCTGAGTTGGAATATTCAATCTTAAATGAAGATAATTATATCATAATTGATTTTGTAACAGCTTTCTCAGCTAGCACTTTACTCCCTCTTGTCAATAGTGTGATATTGTTGAATTAAGCATTACCATCGACTAGTTGCTTAACGTTTGCTTCTGGGCGTATTACCTCTGATACCCAAATCAGTCTGGTCATATAATTTGTTTTATGCTCTCTATTATTGTGTATTTAGACTTGCCCATTTTTAAGATCAATGTTTTATCTGTCTATATTGGACAATTCATTCAATTCTCTTAATGTTTATGACAGAAAAGATAAAGTAAATGGGTAGAGTAACAGGTAGTGGAGTTCAGCTGTGTTTATCATACTTGCTTATACATTGAATTATTAGGAGGTCCACCCCGACCTATACATCTATGTCCTGCCATTTTCGTTCTTATTATTTTGAAAGAATGCAAAACTATTGCAGGTGGACCATTTTATCTTTAAAAATTTCTACTAAATGCCTTTATAGCTAGGATGCTTTTTGTCTAGGAAAATCTCAAGCAGATACGCTTGAGGAAAAGCCTGGACAAATTGGACCAATTCTTGTCTTTCTCTCTCTCTCCCTTCTCCCCTCCTCTTATATTTTTCTGCTCACGAAATATTTAAACTTAATTGTACAAGCATCTAGCATAAGACCTGAGCAACAAGAACAGTCTTACAAAATTAAAGTTGAAAGTTTGTTTTGAAAGTCTCTGATTAAAAAAGGTCCTGAATAAGATGATAACAGTTCATTTGTGATAAAAGAACTAGTCTTGTAATTATAAAATGTTGATCTCAATCTCAGGGTAGCTTTTTCCATAGATCATCTGAAATCATTGCTGTTTCAACTTGTATTTTTTTCTGTTTATTAGACATTGTTATAGTTTTGCAAAGATAAATTTGGTTATCCTTGATATATTTGATGCTCCTTGTGTTGGGAGTATTTTTTTTAGTAAGTTCACATCTAAAGACAAATACAAAGAGAGGAAAATAGAAAAGAAAACACAGTAAAGTACATTTGTTAGCAGATATCCCAGATCAGAAGTTGGACTACAATCCTTGTTCTCATCTCTGGTACAGGATGTAATTCAATCTAGGCAAAGACCATCAAATCACAACCCACAAATGCTCTCTAGTTTAGAATGACTTCTCTGGAAGAGAAAGAAAGCAGAACCTGATAAACTCCACATGCAGATAATGACAGTTATCAGAATGTGGTAAGAGTTTGTTGGTCTATTTCCACAACTGCATCTTTTGAATATCCTTAAACCATGTGATTGAATCACATTTAACGACCTTTCTGCCATGCCCTGCTTGTGACCAGGCCCATCATGGATGTTGAAGCCTAAAAAGCAAATAGTATCAAAATATTAAAAGTCCCATGACAACAGTTCTTAATTTTCTTCCCATTTGGTTAGTTTGAGCAAAAAAGAAAATTATTACCACCTTTATATTTCAGCAAGGGCTAGGCCTTTTACATAGGGAATCAGTGGGCAGGAAAGGTTCTTTGCAAAATATTGCGACCTTAATCCTTAAGTTATGATCACGTCTATCATTTAAATTCTTTTTATTGTCTTATATGCTTATAATTTACAGTCCCTTTTCTTTTCTTCAACTTTCTCACTCTTTTCTCCTTAAAGATCTAAAGATGAAAAATAAGCAACTTTACTGAGAGAAGAAATTATTCAAGGTTCAATATTTACTTAATTTCTTAATATCTAAAACTTGTGCTGTCATCACATTTCCAAGGGACATTTAGCATGCACCTTTCTTCTAATCATTATATGCCATGATAGATTACTTTTAGTTCTTGTCCTATATTACTTAAACATTATTAGTAAAAATTGCTGTATGGAATTTCATTTTCTGGCATTGTAATATTTAAGAAATCCCCTTTTTGAGTTATTCCTTTGATGCAATCAGCTTGTCATGAAATTCTTGTAGAGTGCTTACACTTAAGGTAGTAGGTAAAATGCAGCCAGAGTAATCTTCTTGGTTCATATTTCACCAGTTGAAATAAAAAAGAAGACGAGGAAAGAGAGAACAGCGAAAAGGAGAAAAGTGAGAGTTCCGCATAAAGTAATTTTCAACATAACCTTGTGTGGGCAAAGGCATAAGCATTATCCTATGGATCTGTTTGCTTAGATCTGGTGTAGAAAATAACTAAAACTGGCTGTTCTTATAAAATCTTGCAGACCAGCTTTTCTATACAAATTTCATGTTTTGATTTTCAAGTGTTTGAAATCTTTTATCTCATTGCCGAAAGAACATTCTCTATCCTTTTGTGAAAACTATTTATACTGGTCATGTAAAGGAGCAGGAGAGTTCTAATTGTAGTTGATAATTTGAAATAGTTGAGCTGATACATACAATTGTAAATTCAGGAGCCTTTCGTAAATATTCCGGAGGATACCATTCGCGAGGCACTAAAAGTTGTTCTAGGTACATGCCCTAAAGACAGGATTTTTCACACGTTCTGGTTGAATTTCAGTGCTGTTCACTTGTAATTTGTTTTAATTGACTGTTCATCTCCTTTTGATGCAGATGTGAAAAATCACCCAGTTTTGATTCATTGTAAACGGGGGAAGGTATGCAAATGATTCATATTCCTTTCTTTCTCTCCCTCCCCTCTCTTTTGATCTCCATCTATCTTTTCATATCTCCTTTTTCTTTGCCTGATGTTTAAATTCAACTTCTACTAAGCTTCATATCGGTGTTTACTTTTCTACTTGCAGCACCGAACTGGTTGTCTTGTGGGATGTTTGAGGAAATTGCAAAGGTGGTGCCTGTCATCTATCTTCGACGAGTACCAGCGTTTTGCTGCTGCAAAAGCCAGAGTTTCAGATCAGAGGTTTATGGAATTGTTCGACACGTCCAGCTTGAAGCATCTGCCAATGTCATTTTCATGTTCAAAGAGGTAACTGGATATTGGTTTTGCTTCCTTATGATAGCAGAGGAGAATCGTAGGTACCTGTAGGCTGTGTGGAATAAAGTAGGAAAAGGTGATGAGTTCCTAGGTTGCATTTTGGCGGCGAAGGAATTTTTTTCCCTTTTCCCCTCCTGAGAATAAATTGGCAATATATTTTATGTTAGCATGTTCAGCAGCCCGATTTCTCTGCCTTCTATCCATTGTTGCTCTGTACTCCCTGTCTTGTATTTTCTTTCCATTTTGTTTGTTATAACTAGGCAGCCACCGTTTGTCGCCACAACAATTTCCACATAGAACTGGGTAGAGTTGTGCTCTATATTGTAACTAGATTTGTTTGAGCTTTGTAGACTATGCCAGGTTGTGTACACAGATCAAGAAAACAGTCTCTCCAACACCAGTTAATATGGAAGGCAAGACAAGGCAATTACATAATTGCTTAATGTATGGGAGAATCTTAGTTGTAATATGAAGTGTTGAAACTTACCAATTAGATATTGTTCGACCAAGAATTGCCTATTAGATCTTGGGAGCTAATCCGTTTATAAGAATTGAATATGCAATTATTAAAATTAGAATCAAAATTTTGTATTAAAAAAAATATGTGATTGTTAAAATTTTATATAAAAAATTAAATTATTTATTATTAGTAATTATAATTTAAAATTTTGAAAATATGTTATTCAACTCTGGAAATAACAGTCTTAGATTTAAAAAAATAATAAAAAATAAAAAAAGGAGAGAAGGGAAAGAAAATCACATGCTTTCATATATTATTGGATTAGCGAGGGAATTCATGGATAATGAAAGAGAGAGTGATTGTAAAAAATGAGGGATGCAGTTTGAAATATGTATATGTACATGTGTGTGTGTGTGTGTGTATATATATAAGGATCGGGTTTGATGAGAGAGAGAGAGGATGCGTAGAGACTTAAAAATAAAAAAATGGAGAAGTATCCAACCTCAATTTCAGCGGCCTGTTTCGGAAGATAAGTTCAATTTTAGAAGCCAAAGGAATCTTTTTATAATCATTCAATTCAGTGGTGAACATAAAACAAATGATTAGTTTAGAAATGATGATTCGTAGACATCTTCATGATTTAATATATGTCTTCTCTTCTCTTATCTTCAATCCTTCACGAACCTTTTTGTTGCCCAAGTACTCTACTATTTTATTCAATCATCATTCCATGTTTGATTTTAATTCTTACTCACTTCACTTTAAGAGTTTTATATTGTAAATTGCTTATAAATTTTTAAACATATTAATACATCCATCCATTTGTAAATCTATACTTTGTTTAGTTTTAAACAAAATTCATTATTAAAAAAAAAAAAAAAACCCCAAAAAAAAATATGAATTTCTCTCTTCATAAAATTATATTTATTATTATTTTCCTCGATAATCCTAACCGTCCTTTTTACTCGTTAGTGGTCGGCATGTGCTTTCACTTAATTAGACATGTTCTCTATTGTCGCTAAGCTTTAGCACTTGGTGCGGTCGACATATGCTTTTAATTGTGTCAGCACACACCCACATATATGTATATATAGTTCCAAACAGCGATGATAATTAGTGGTCCCCACACGTGCTTGTATTTCTGTCATTATTAATTCCTTAAAGATTCTTTTAAAGCTTCGGCCATGTAATTAATTTGTTTAAACGAGAGTGACAGTTAATTTAGTTGGTGAATTCTGACAAAAGTAATTAACTTGTGCTTTTTAATTTTAAAAACTGAAAATTGGAAATAATTTTTTATTTTTTAGACTTAAAAAAGAAATGTTCCTTTTTTGCAGGAACAGATCTATCTCCCCTGACCCCATTAATAATAAATTAAAAGAAAAAAAGAACCGAAAGACAAAAAAGATTTGTCTTTATTAGATTAAATAGCATTGCAGGATGGTTTAATTTTGTTCCTGTCTACAAACAATAACTCTATATACGACACCGTTTTCCCACACTCCAACAATCCTTTTTACTCTTTACTTAATCTTCACCATAAAATACCCAATTAAATATCTCCTCTTTCACTTCCATCTTTTTTATAACTATATTTTTCTAAATCAAGCCCAAGTAGTGAATTTGATGCCCGCCCCGGTTTAAGATTTAAGCTTTTGCGGCCGCTTTCATGGCATCAAATCTCGGCTCCTTGGCCTGAAACTTCAACCCAGCATACAGCTTCATGTAATCCTCGAACACGAATTTCGGGTACGCTGTTTTCTTCTCCTCTGTTTCTTTCTCCACCAATATCGGCGCCGGATAAATCACGGCGTCGCTTCCGGGGTTGTAGAAAGAAGCTATCGACATCCTCGTCCCGTCGGTTTGTGCCACCACTCTGTGCTCCACGCTCTTGTATTTCCCGTTGGTAATCACCTGCAACAATTCCAAGAAACTCGGTATTTCATCTCTCTGTAATGGAACTCATCAAAACACCCAGATGAAAATTTGTGTTAATTACCTCGAGTTGGTCGCCGAGGTTGACGACAATGGAGTGGCGCATTGGTGGAACATCAACCCATTTGCCGTCTTTGAGGAGTTGGAGGCCGCTGACTTTGTCGTCCTGGAAGAGCAAGATGATGCCGCCGGCGTCGGTGTGTGCCCGGAGCCCTTTGATCAAGTTTGGTTTAGGGCATGGAGGGTAGTTGCTGACTTTGGTGCCGAAAGTTGGACCTCTTGACCCGTAAAATGCTTTTTTCAAATACCCTTTTTCCAGCCCGAGATTCTCGCATAACAAATCAAGAAGCTCCTCTGCTATTTTCTCCAGTTTCAGAGCAAATTCTTTCATCACTTTCCTGCAATAATTGACAAAGAAATTGATTAATAAAATACCCATTTGCGGACAGTCAGTGGCTTTTACCAGTGTTAATGTAATATAATACAGACGGGTCGGTTTTGCGTTTATGTGTGTGTGTGTGTGTGTGTGTGTGTGTGTGTGTGTGTGTATGTATATATGTATTACCTGTATTCATCGTCGAGATCTGGAATCTCAGCTATGTTAGGCTCAGGGAGATGGCGTATGAAAAAGGTGCTTTCCCAGTCCATATCAGTGACCTCTGTTTGGATACCATCTAAGCCCTTGCTCGCCATTATTTCCTTGAATCTCTGCTCCATGCATTTTCTGTAGTGCCCTTTTGTCAATCTTTCGACAGTGTCCAGCAGCTCAATTGGGATCCCATGATTCACCAGCTGCAATTTTTTTTTTTTGGTCAAAACCAGATAATCAACCAAGACCAAATTCGTAGTACCAAAAATTTGAGCAGAAAACAGCGCAAGAATTTATAATAGAAAAATACAGCTGATCAGAAAACAGAGCAAAAATGGGGGAGAGAGAGCTTAGCTTAAACATGAACTGAAAAGAAAGATGAGTGTTGGGAGTTTGAGAGGATGTTTAATGGGTACCTCAAAGAAACCCCAGTTCTCACAAGCATCTTCAATCTTCTTCATGGTAGCAGCTCTCTCCTCACCGTTGAGACCCTCCATGTTGATGACTGGGAAGTTCTCCATCTCTGCAGAAAGAATTTCTCGGGAAGAAATCGTCGAAACTTTTTCTGGGTTTGTTTGTAAATAAAGTTTTTGATGTGTTTGGTGTTGTTTATGAATGCAGACTCGAGAGATTTGATAAGCAATTTATAGAGGTTGATCCAGAATGAAGACAGAAATAGGAGTAGCCCGCGAAGGCAAGTGGAAGTGGGTTTTGGAGTCTCATAAAAATAAATAAATAAATAAATTATTTTTCAAAAAAAAAATATATATATATATCAAAGATTAACTGAAAATTAAAAAGAAAATAATAGAGTCTAATTTGTTGACCCGACCCAGGAGACGAAGACCGTTAAATTACGTGACTTATTGGGTCGTTTTACTGAATGGGGGCCCCAGTAAACCAATAGGTGGAAGGTGCTTAGATACTGCCCGAGTGACTGTGCTGCAATGTGGTTTTGACGGTATCTAGTCCGCCGATCATGGACCGTCCATTTCTTTCCAACTGGTTACGTGCATGATTATTAATTGATGAAGGACGCAGACACTTTTAAAGCAAATTAAAAATGTAGTAATCTAATTTATTAATTAGAAAATAATTAAATGAAGTTTTTCAAATTATTGTATAAGAATCTACACACATTAATTAATAAAATGTATCCGATAAATACTTATGGTTTATTATTTATTTATTTCAATGTTTAATGCTGCTTGAAAAATAATTTTATGGCTAATGTACTATATATATATATATATATATATAAATACGTTTTGCACGTGGGGCTGCGAAGTGCGATACGTACGCTTTGAACGTTATATTTGACAGCACGATTTCCCTATAATTACTAGAATGCCCTTCGCCATTCTCGTTTAATTCTGGAAATAATGAATATTCCTGACACATTACTATAAATAATGTCGTCATAATTTAATAAAAGTTTTAAACGAATTAAAATAATCAATAAGAATATTCCCAAAAAAAAAATATATGATTTTTTAACGTCATTAATCTTTTTATTTCCAAGAAAATTATTATTAATATATTTGGTGGGTGAAAAGATAATAACTCTAGCACTTTTTTTTTCACACTTTTTTTCCCCAGAAGCAGCAAATCTGATGTAGGACCGACAACTTAAATCAAGCAGTATAATTAATTAATAAACTTTGGCTCTAGATTCCATTTATAATCGCAACTTTTGGCTTTTAATGTACATACATATTATATTAAAATTAAATAAGAACCGTTGAATAATATTTTAATTATGTTGATATTTAGGCGACATGCCATTTTCATACTAATTGCCTCGCAGCGGAGAGACAGTAATTAATCTCTCTAAATAATTATAAACGTTAATTATTGCTGGGTTCCTCTCCCAATCAAACTCTACTTAATCCTCCTCCTCATCGTTCATAATATATAAGTTAATCAGCTATTACACAGATTGGTTGCCTGATTAAACAATTAATTAAAAAACCTTAATTAATTAACGTATATTATCAGTCAGGCAAAAGAGGTCGGTAGGTAGGTCCTGGAAACTAAAAGCACGCTGCATGTATTATTATTATCACTATGTTACCCAATAGCTGCTTCCATTAACCATATATATATATTAAAAAATATTTAATTATAATATTTTTAGTAATTAAAAATGCATATTTAATCATTCAAATATCTATATAGAAGAGGTACAAAGTTGGAATACAATTCGAGCTTTTAATTTCTATTATTATTATTATTATTCTTTTACACAATAATGAATGTTGTTGAATGTTAATATTGATATGTCCGTCCTTTCACTGTATAGTCAGTCTACATGCAACGTTTTTATATTTATATCATTCTGTCCCAGTGAGCTATACGTGGGGTGGGCGACAGAGACAAAGCTTTTCAATTATTCATGTCACCCACACACACACACATATATATATATATATATATATTACGATATAATATCAACCGTGCAATAAGAATAAATAAAAATATTTTTTTAAAAATTATTAACTTTGTGTACTAATATATATCTCCCGTCTCCAAGCTTTTGAAGAAACTGAAGTTAATTTTCCATATATAAAGTAATTAATAATTATTATATTTTTTTCTTTGTAAAAAATTATAAATTTGAAAGTAAAAAATAAAAATTTATGTACCGCATTATTTAGATGATATTTAAATAAAATGCTTGATAGATCTTCACACGTGCGTATATACATCTGTTTATGTATATATATATATATATATATATATATATATATTATAAGTATATTTTCTCAATAAGTACCGAACATTAATATTCAAAATTGTTTAAGATTGCAAACGTGGATTTGTTAGCCTTCAGGAATTGCGTACAGGTTTCATCCATATATTTTGATACTAAATTCCAAGCCGGAGTTTTCTTGTTGACATGGAAATTCTCGTTAAAAAGAATAATATATATATACACACACACACGCATATACACATTTCTCTCAAAATATGTTTTTCTTGGAACACAAACGTAATTTTAAAATGAGGAAATATTTAGAATGAATTCAACATGGGCTAGGAAATTAAACAAGTACGATAATATATAATAATATTTAAACAAGTGGATCAATTAACATATATATGTATGTATATGTATATGCATAGACACAAACATTGTATTATACATATTTGACTATACTTAACCTACATATCATGCAATGTATTATTCAATGAAAATATATTATGAAATAGCAACTACATACATACATATATATATATATATAACAAAAACAAATGAGAGCATGATCTTACTTGTCACGGCGGCTTTTGGTGTTGGATCTGATGTGATTTATATTCCTAAACATTAATTTAATTTGTTTGGCTACAACTGTTAATTAGACGTGGAAAGTGGGAATTCTCTTCCAATTTTCTGTAATTTTAATTTAGTTTCCCGATCCGAACGAAGGAGGAGGAGGAGGAGAATAAAAAAGGTTTCCTGTTTTAGTAGATTCAAAGAGTGGAGAGGGAGAGACGCAAACACCAAATTATCGACTTGATAGAAATCCTCTTCAATGTAACGTAGGCGGCGGCATGTACGGATTACACACAGCATAAATTTCATTGAAGAAATTCTTTTTTTTTTTTTTTTTAAAGAATTAAATTAAATTAAGAGAAATACGTGAATAAACAAAATGAAAAGTTTTGGTGAGACGAAAGAGACAGCGGTGTTGTGAAATAAATTAGAGAAAGGTGGGGGTGACCCAAATAACTTAAATTGGGCGACAAATTAGGATTCAAAATTCAAAAATGTCAACTTCCAAAATGCCAAAACACTTGTTCTCTCATCCACGGAAGCATGCAAGAAATTACTTCCACTCGTTTTTTATTTTATTATTTTCTTTCGGAAATTATTTTTTTCTTACTCGAATTTTGACTTTTTCTTTTGTGAAATTTAAATATATAAATAAATAAAAGAAGAAATTTTGCAGTGATTAATTCTTTAAAAATTCTTGGAATATACGGGTAAATAATTTTCTTCTTATTAGAAATTAATACACACGTGATACTCATAAAATGCAACAAAAAGATGATGATGAAAAATTCTTGGAATTGGTTGGTGAGTCATCGAGATTCAACAAGGTATAGTGATTGAAACACTTGTCACTGCTCGGTTTGTTTTAATTGGATGAGTTACAATTTGATTTTGACTTCAATTTTTCAAGTAAGATTTTTAGTAATCAATTTATAAAAGTTTTAATTTAATTTAATTTAATTATATATATATAAAAAAAAAAAAAAAAAAAAAAAAAAGAGTAGTAAATGTGCCCGTTGGTCACGGCTTGTTGGGACCATATGATGATAGTTGATTTTATAAAATAGCTGCCTTCAATGCCAATTGCCAAACCCTCAATAGAAATTTGGGCACTTCATTTGCAAACTTTTAATGCAAAACAATAGTATAATAATTAATTTTACTTTGAAAAAACAAAATTAGGGTTTTAGTTCGTATGGTAATAGAATTTTAGATGAAGCCCGTGGGCTTTATAAATAATAATAAGTAAAGCAGGCTAAGTGTACGAATCAATCAAACGTAGGCCCATGACACGTGCAATGAAGTTGAAGCCCACATTATGAGAAACGGGAAACTTCATTATCTACATCTGATGTCTATTTAAATTAAACATTCCAAATTTAACTTCACAATTTTATGTAAAACTTATATATTTTAATCAATTTTACTTTTATTTTTTCACATTAGCTACGAGTAGATTGAAGAAGAAACTAAGTTTTCCCTCCTGACTTTTGATTTTTTTTTTTTTTGCAAAATATAAGATATATTCAGTCTCAAATTATTAAATTTTAAAAATTAAATAGTTTGCTATTATCGTAATCAGTAATAATATCATATTATATATACACTACAATCCGACCTCTAATATCGATAGGTACGGATGTTTACACACAATATTTAACTAATAAAAAATAGAATTAAGTGGAGTTCCACTATACATTATTACATAATTTTATAATAAAATAATTATTAAGTCTGAAAATATTATTTATAAATGTATTTAATTTCTATTTATAGTACAAGTTTAACACGAGTTAAAAAGACTCCCGATCCTTCATGATATAAATTTAGAATATGAAAAATTAATGAGTTTTCACTAATACATCACACACACATACATACATTCATGTAATTAATTCTTTATAAAATTTTATGATATTTTTTGTTTAACAATTTTTACATCTGCTTTATTTTCTTCGTCACGTCATATCAATTTCTATATTCATCAGTCATTATATACACAAGAGTACGTTATTCTCACTCATAAAATTCATGTAATCGTAATTTTATTACATATAAATTTATTATTATACAATAGCTAAAATCATTATTATTATTTTCTTTTAAATATATATATATATATATAAACCCATCATTTACATTAAAAACTTTAAATTTGTTCTAAAAAATCTTTGTATATTAAAATGTGAAATTACAATCTCACACTGGATTGATCATATGCCCAGATATTGATCAAAGAATAAATATATCACCACCTAACATTGTCACAAGATGATAAGGACAAAAGTGGAAAAAAGTACCGAAAAACCAGACCTAAAAGATATCAAGGATCTCGATGATCGGACGGTTGCAGATAGGACACGTCCCTCGATTGACCCACAACTCCCTCGAACATACCCTACAAAACGTGTGTCCGCAGGGAATAAACGCAGCCCCTTTTTTCCTATCCATGCACACGCAACACACCGAATCATTCCCCCTACCTGTTCCACCTTCTCCTCCCTCGCCCACATTCCTCCATTTCTTCTTCTGCTTCTTTGTCCAATCCACGCCCTCCGTCTCCTCAATAAGTCTCATCAAAGTCTTCGCCCTTACGTCTTCAGCTGTAGGACAAGCGCTCCGCATATTGCGCTCGGCTGCCAGCGCCATGGCCAGGTTCATGCCGGGCGGAGCGTTGGAAGCTGCGGCCACGAGCGGGCTGGCGGCGGAGAGTCGCGGCGGACGATGGAGAACCAGGTGATCTTCGTGGTCGATGACTTGTTGCAGAGTGAGCTGGCCGGTAGCCGCCATGTGGATCTCGTGGTCGTCGTATTCGAAATCATCGTCCTCACGGTGTTGCCGCTGAATGATGGTGATGGTTGAAGCGCTGGAACTCCATGCGGCCCCGCAACAACCTATCCGGGCCATTCCCTTGAATCCTAGCCATTGCTTCAGGTTCTTCCATCTCATCCAATTCCTGTCTACGCTGTTCATTTCTCTTATCGCAAAAAGCTAAGAACACATCTAAAGTATACACCAGCCTGCAAGTTTCCAGTGCGATTAATCAAAATTCAAATTAATTTAAAAATTCAGAATATATATATATATATATATATCTAGACGTGCATGCAGAAAATTACCCTCGGAGGAAAGATAAAATTAAGAAAATTAACAAGAAGAGTAGGCATCGGAAATGTAACAATTACTTGAATCTCGGAAGAGTTGTGTAGTCTGTACAGTAGAAGAGGAAGGGATTCGGACTTGTGCAGAAGGAAAATTTGGAACTGAGATGAAGAGATAGTGGAGATAAGTGAATGAAGAGAAAGAAAACGAGGGGAGCATTTGAGAAGAAGTGGATATCCGTTTGGGGTATTTGAAGAAACAAAAATGGAGGAGTATGGGGGATTAGGGAGAGGGAGAAGGTCCCGTCTGTTACTCTTGAGGAACGCGCAGGCTTAAAAATAGGTAGGGGGAAGTGAAACTGGAAAAAACGGGGACACGCGTTAAGATCTGGAACTGTTGATAGTTTGTGAAGGAAAAACGTTGTCGTTTCTCACTCCCCCCACCGGGCGAACAGTTACAAAAGTTAGAAACTGAATGGAGACGAAGACGATGATTGGGTTTGGCCACAAAACAGAAAAAAGCGCTTTTTAACTTTGGGATCATCACTCACTGCTCAAACACAAAATTAACCATTTTTAATTATCTTCGTAACTGGGTAAGTTAAAAGTTTTTCAAATTTCTCTGATGTTAAACTTTTATTCCATAAAATTTAAGAACAAAGAAAGTAAGAAGATTGTAAAGAGTTGGGATTACTGTAGTTTTCAAATACAATATTACTTTTTAGAACAAAAACAATGACTAATAATTAATTGACAAATTTCAAGTGATGTAAATTGATGATGATGGCATTAATTTTTGAAAAAATTGAACATTGTTTGTCACTGTGATTTCCATTGATTGAGGTAAAACAAGTAATTTGAAGAAGCAGAAGCACTTTTTGGAAGATATGATTCCACTTGAAAAAAAAGCCATAATATGCGGCAGCACTCATGACTTAAGCAGTTAGATTATTAACTCCTAATCATTCATTAATTTCTAATTACTTACTAATAACTTTTACCCTTTGGTGTTTCTTTTTCCCCCAATTATTGTTTGCTTTTTTTTATCTTTTTATTATTTCTTGGAAAATAAACCTTTTGCCTTTACGATGGAGTTTTTTTTATGTGGGCAACCAAAACCATTAGATTTTTAATTTCTGCTATATTCAGAATATAATTTTATATATTATTTTATGATTATTTAACATACATATATATATTTTTCATGCAAAAAATTTACATGATCTATGAGTTAAATTTGTAATCAACTAAAAATTAATTATATTTTAAAAATATTAAATAGATAATATTATCGATTAAAGAAATACTATAGTTTAATCTCAACATTCAAATCCTAAACTGCTTGTAAGTCTTTCGTGTTTGAATTCTTGGATTTTTACATAAATTTTCTGGGAGATTAAAATAATTAAAATAAAATAAAAGCAAATTGTGAGAGTTACAGTTTCATTCCCTCTAAGATTTGCACTTTTGAAAGTTGCACCCAAATCTTTATCTTTAAAGACTGTTGAACATTCATGTATTTTAATCTAAAAGATCACTGTACTTTGTTCTTCCGGTTATTACTGTAAATAGCATTTTAAACATTAATTTATAATAATGATTTTTTTAAAAGAACTAATAATTAAATATATATATATAAATTAATTAGTACTATTAATGATGTCAACTTGAGTTTTATGAAACTTTGTAGTGGTCCAGAACCCCAATGTAAAAATGTTCCGCCCAAAATTTCCCATAGTTCTCACTTCATAATGTCACCTACTATTGGTTTATCATTAAAATTGTGCTGAGAAAATAAAATATGAAATGTGTTTTCTTTGAATCCATACATTTAGATTTCATCCCAACTCACAATTGTCTTTAAATAATTGTTAATTAATGTATCTTATTTGAACATACTTCCAAATATACCCTCACCATAGTTTGTTAATTCCATTTATACCCTCTTCTGCTTTTTCTTCTTATCTCGTCTCCTCTTATTCTTCATTTCTCTTTTCTTCTTCTTCTTCTTCTTCTTCTTCTTCTTCTTATTCTTCCTTTTTCCTTTTCTACCCGACCACGTCTCTCCTCTCTCTCTCTCTCTCTCTCTCTCTCTCTCTCTCTCTCTCTCACTTCCTTTTCCGTGGCATCTCCTTCCCTCTCTTCTCTCCCCTTCACGAAGTCGCCGTGTCATGCAACACCGCGCGACTCTCCACGGTAAGTCCTGTCCCATACAATCAATGGGAATAAATGTCGATATTCCTAGTTCCTGTCATTTCAAGATGGCTACGAAATCCAAAACGGCCACAACACTAACTGTATAACCCCGGCAAAAATACCAATGGCTCAAAATCAAAAACCCACAAGCATTCTTGAATCTCTTGGCGAAGAAGTTATCGTAATCATCGCACCAGTCTCAATATGCATGTTCGTGGTTGTCATTTTGGTTTGCATCCTCAACACTGACTATTCATCTTCCTCATCAATTACCACCATAGTCACCATAGCATACACGGAGACCAGCTCAGATTCTTCCTGGGACAAATTCATGGGTGCCCTTTTGAACTCTCTTGCGTTTGTTGCTGTTGTCACTGTTTCTACCTTCGTTTTGGTGCTGCTATTTTATTTTAGATGCACGGGGTTCTTGAAATTTTATTTGGGTTTATCTTCTTTCATTGTTTTGGGGTTCATGGGTGGTGAAATTGCTGTGGTTCTGATAGAAGATTATAGCATTCCCATTGATTGTATCACCTTTCTAGTGGCTTTGTTCAATTTTGCTGTTGTGGGTGTGTTTGCTGTGTTTATGTCAAAAATGGCTATTTTAGTTACACAAGGGTACTTGGTCTTTATTGGTGTGTTGGTAGCTTATTGGTTTACTCTACTTCCTGAATGGACAACTTGGGTGCTCTTGGTTGCAATGGCATTGTATGATCTTGCTGCAGTTCTATTGCCTATTGGGCCATTAAGGCTCTTGGTGGAGCTCGCCATGTCTAGGGATGAAGATATCCCAGCTTTGGTCTATGAAGCTAGGCCTGTGACTCCTCATGATTCTGGTTCAAGTAGTGATGTACCTCAAAGGAGAACTTGGAGAGAAGGGAGAAATGCTGGACATGATTTGGTTGAAAGTTCGAATGCTGGGTCTCATTATTATGTTAATGTTTTGGGTTCAGACAGGATATCTGGTACTAGCGTAGCAGTTGGAAGTAATCATCATGAGACGAGATTGGTTAGAGCCGAAGAGGGGAGAGTTTCGGACAGAGAGGCTGAGCTTGCTGCGCCATTGATTGATAATAGAGTCACTCAGCTAGATGGGCGGCAAAATGTTGTGCCAAATGAAAGTTTCATACTAGAAGGTATAGGATTGGGGTCATCTAGCGCTATAAAGCTTGGGCTTGGAGACTTTATCTTCTATAGTGTGTTGGTTGGCAGGGCAGCAATGTACGATCTGATGACAGTTTATGCATCTTATCTGGCTATAATTGCTGGTCTAGGTATTACACTTGTACTTTTGGCCTTTTATCAGAAAGCTTTACCTGCTCTTCCTGTGTCAGTTGCATTAGGGGTGTTGTTTTATTTCTTAACTCGTCTCCTACTTGAAGATTTTGTTGTACAATGTTGTACAAACCTTCTGATGTTCTAGAATCATAATATATGTTATTAATGTGTAAATCTAGGTCCCAGAAACTTTTATTTATGGAATTAATCCACGATTTATTGGTTGTTTGGTGAGGAAATTCCAATTTCATCATTTCCAAGGTATATGTTAATAATTTACGTGAGAGTTTTTGACAGAATTCTTTGCTTCTTTTCTATATGTTGTCATGTTGCTCTATGGAATTTTTTTTTTTTATCTCTTCATGCTTTGTGAATCAAAACTTCTATACATTATTTTTTTTTCTGATTGATGAAAGGGTTGAAGGTATAACTAATTACAAAAGAACAGTGGATAGTGGAGAGACCATGTGAAGCACAAGAGAAGAGATGAAATGATGAACAAAAATCATGGGTAGTATTTTTGGAGACTCAAAAGAGACAGAATGGTAGAACTTTCACAAAAAGTTTCTATTCTTGTATGCAGAGTTCTCATAGACTGTTATTTCACGAAAAAAAAAAAGGTAAAGAGTTTTGAAATAAATTTTATATTTGGCAGAAGGAAGCTGATGCCAATGTGTTCCATAAATTCTATACTTTCATCACGTTATAAAGCAAGATAACATCTATATTATTCAGTTGCTTATGCAACTTTATATCCAAGATAAAGACCAAACAGATGTTATTCATTTGTGACGTGACAAATGTGCTCAAGCTGTATTAACATGGAATCTCACTGTCCACCATATTTGGGTGGGTAAAAAGGATGTTCTCTGCTACAAATAAAATCGGCCAGACCAGAGCAGCTAACACAGAAAACAAGAGATGCACCAGCTAAAATGTGTGAAGTGAGAGAGAGACATCTTTTAAGGTGTTAAAGATAATAGGAGAAACACAGATTAGTTAATCATAATTTTTTGTAAACAATTGCAGAGAAATGTTATGATATATATAGATTTTAGGTGTTTCGTTATGTGAATAGTAGTAATGTGGAGAGGAATCAACGAAAGGTAGATTCTACTCTCTATGACCATCAACTGGACCTGCTTGTCATCTTAAATAATAAACAAAGCTACAGAGAAATGCTACGATATATAGATTTATTATGTGGTAGGGTTTTATGCCATTAGATACTTCTCTGGAATGTTGTAGCATCTGGTTTTCTCCTTCTAGGAAACTTTTATATTTACTGGAACTAAGAATTGTGTTTCATGACCTAGTTTTGGCTAACAGATGTAGTTTTGCCTAACCTTTAATGGAACTTTTTTGTCTGGGCAAAGACAAAGTTTGTTATTATCAGCTATAGTTGCAAGTTTTTGCTACTTATTTACTTCATTTTTCATCAAGTTCTGCATGATGAAACATCTCATCTCCTCTCTCTTTTTTTTTCTTCTGTTGTTTATTATATATTAAATAAATTAAAAAAAAAAACAATCTTCTCAAACATAATATAATTTTATCATAATTAACATATTATACCATTACCATACGATATCATATATATTAATGAACCGCTATAAAATTCATCCGAACATAGCATGAAACTTTGTTTTTCTTTTCTTTTCTTTTCCTAATTCAATCTTTATATGTATTGGTTCCCTTTAGTAATCAAAATCAACCCCCTTGTCTTTACAATATAATCTTATTACATTTACTACTAATCACTCCACGGTAAAAAAGAATTACCAGAGAGAGAGAGAGAGCAGCAGCAGCTCAAAGTTTATAGGGGTTGACACGTCAATTCCCATAAATTTACGGTTAAAAAAAATCTACTGTTTAAGAAACTACTCACAGTTAGAGATGAGCTACAACGACAACCAGCGCTTCAAATTCGTGTTTATTCTTTCGGTTTAGAACACAGCAGGCAAACCCCCACATGTATCTACCTTTCTCATGGTTCTATTTGGTAAAAGAGCAAAATAAATTATTTACAGTTGCACTTTCATTAATTGCTTAATACTCCCTCCATTTGTCTTTTCCTTTCTATCAACTCCATGAACAATTAGCTTACAAAGTTACGCGGAACTTTGAATTACTCGAAATGATTGAGGTCTTTAATCACTTCAAGGATGAAACAATGACAGGACTCACCTTGTTTGACGCCAAGAACCGTGATGCCAATGCACATGGATTGCTCCAGTATGCAGGTACTGAATCTTGACTAATCAGTACAGCTCAAAACGAGCGGCTTCCTCTTAAGCAAACTGCATGCCATCAAAAACAACATTATATGATGCATATTTATGGAAAACAAAGAGTTAACTTTCTAGTTTTAACTTACATTTACTACAATTTTCATTAAGTTTCTTGTCACATTAGTCTTAAGATGTATGACTAAAACATATGTTTGTTGTGTTTGAGTTACTACCACACCTACTTTATAATCCTTGACGGTGAAAACTGAAATCTAACCTCAGAAGACAAAAGTTAAATTCCCACTTATTAAGTGATTATATACAGAGTGTTGATAACTTAAACACAATAAACTGTAGTCTAATTATGCATGGTATGAGTATTAAAATTATTCCACTTTGAAATCCTTGACAGAGAAAACTGTACCCCAACCTTGGAAGATAACCATTAAATTTCCATCATTATGGAATTCAAAATGGAGTGTTGACAGCTTAAACAAACCAAATTATATTCTTATTATGCATAATAAGATCAACATGAAAATTAGATTGAAGAGTTGAACAGGAACAGAAATTAAAACAAACACGGCATATATAAGATTTAATCATATCCCTCGTTCAAGTAACAAGGAGAAAGAAATTTATCAAAAAGAAGCACATTTCCAAAAGCTACTAAGAATTGATGATTACTAGTAGCAAGTAATTTACTTAGTTCTATGCAACCAGATTATGAATCAATGTTATTTGAAAAATATAATAAATGAAAAAATATGATTTTGGAGGACACAAAAATCTTACAGCAAATCAGAATTTCTGGGAATAACTGCTTGCACTTTGTACCAATGCCTGCATGCTGCAAAACCTGACAAAAGTAGCATTCAGTGAATAGTAACACAAAAAAATAGAAGGCAGAATTTTCACCAAAACAATAATTTAACCAAAGCATGCAATTAGTGAACTCAACTGAATACTAAGTAGTATCTAGGGAGTTACTTAAGGCGCTTTATAACATGGTAAATTAAGTTAAATCCACTGTAAAGAAATTTTATTTGCTCTTGTCCCCTCTCAAGCCCCTTCCACTTCAAGCGAAAGGTTTCTTTGTTGATAAATTTGTAAAAGAAAAAAAATTATTTGTTATAATTCCAGCTCCAAACCATTCCACTTCACGATGGAATCTTTTCCTTGTTTACAAATGTTCCAAGAAACGGCAGAGAGGAGATTTGAAATGCGATTACGAATCAGAACACTGTTAGGAAAAAACGATAAAACACATGGATGAAAATGAGATGAACATAAAAGTATATTTTATATCCGCATCCCCTCATTTTTCCAGATAAAAATGGTTGGAATGTCTACCATGCAGGAATCTCAAAAGGGTGAAAAACCACAAGCAGTCTTGTATTTTGTAGTACGCCAAAAGCTTTCTAAATGGCAAATTGAAACCAAGAAACAAACTGAGTGTCAATTAGCATGAGATGATTCACAGAAGCTAAGAGCATCACATGACCAAAAGCTTCGGTGTCCTGTCAAACATCACTATTGGTTTTCAATAGAAAAAAAATCTTAGAAATATTGTTAAAAAGACATATCATGGTATCAAGAAATTACCTGCATTTTCAGACGACCCTTTGAGAGACCCACCTCAATGAGAGTATATATATTTGGCCAAAGAACCCTGAAATGCCATGACATAACGAAACCACATTATGATCTTCTGGAGTGTTTAAGAGTATGTATGCATATGTATCATTCAGTTTACATATCTAATCTCTACATGCTGTATTAGGACAATTTACTAGTAGGATCCATTGAGCCATCAGTGCATCCACCGTAAAACACAGTTAATTATGCTAGAATACAACATCTCTAACGATCTCTTAGATCTTGCTCATCCTCCAAGCAAGATAAGCAGTGTTTCTGCTGTTTGAAAAGTTAATGAACGCCAACTTAAACCTCAGAACCAATTCAGGCACTGAGCGGTTAGCTTCAAAAATGATCCAGGACGAAAACAAACACATACATATTTTATTTATAGCCAACTTGTAGCATCAAATGACGATAACTTCGACCGCGTATAACCCGCTGCCACAGACACTGAAGCATTTTCCAGGAACTCATTTGCATCCGCTCCTGGACAAGCCTGCAACAAAAAGTCAGTCTATGATGCTAGACTGCTGCTCTTTTCATGCAATTTCTATTGCCACCTGATCACTTACCATCTGGCAAGACACCTCTCAATACCTCTAGATACAGGGCGAATGAAGGAAGGATCTCGCTGAGCGTACAGCAAACCAACCTGAAAAATTCAATTGCCCTTTTTTATTTCAAAGAGAACAGAATATGGATATTATATGTAATGCAAGGAACTTTGAAAAGCTCATATGTAGATTCGACAAAAAGCTAGAGAGAGATAATTCAAAAATACCTTAAAAACGTCATCTGATTTAAAACATTCATCCAAATTTTAAATATCTTTTAGATAATAAAGTTTTTTGGATCTGATGAATTTGGAGAAAGATCTAAGACCAAATACAGGTAAATAAACACCACAATAAAGGGAAAATTCCATGTAAACATAAAAATAAACAAAACAAAGAAGAAGAGAAATACCTGAAGTAATGCAGTAGCAGCAGGGTCATCCAAAATCTCAAGGCTATAGTCAGCCAGATAATTAATCTGCAAAAAGGAGGCCATGATAGTGATTATCTAGTTCATGCCATTTACAGTTAGTACAAGGACTTACAATAATGTGTTAGCATATGATATAACAACAATTAGAAGTGGCATATCCACAATGTTATAAAGGTCATTGTTTTGGGGGAAAATAGAACAGCCTAGTTATTTCAATACGGAACCAGTTTACTTGCCAGCAAAAAAAAGAAGATTATAGATAACTGGCATTACTTCAAACAAGATGCTAAACTAAGCAAAAGCTCAGCTTACACTTGAATAAGTATAAGAAGGATACCCCAAAAAAATCTTGGCTAGAGATTGAACAAAATCCCTCCCCAAAATATTAGCCCATTCCCGATTAATAACTGGGTCCTTAGTAAGTAGTGGATGCCTCCAAGGAGCACCAAAACGTAATTTATCCTTTGAGATCCTTCCACTTTGTGCATCAAGGGCAAACTTCTGCAAAAAAAGCCAAAGCCCTGTCCATGGCAGGATTCACCACGGTAACCTGAAATGAATTATTAAAAAAAAAGGTAAGCTGCACAGTGCACAACTGCACGCACACACTCTAGGAAAAAAAATCAATTTTTTTTTTGAAAAACAAGGACCCATGGAATATGGAAATACCATAAAAACAATTAGCACATATGTAAAAGAGTTCAGCAAAGGTTCATAACATAAAAATTTTAGTTTGATTTCGTAACAAATGCTTCAGTATAATTCACCATAAAGAACTAATTTCCATCCTTAATGATGGATAAAAAAGCTTCATCAAATGTTTTTTGGTTACAGGCTATTAAAAATAAACTCAAACTAAAAAGGTGGTCTCAGTGACAGATGGACGGGTACCTGAGCCTGCCAACCCAAACCTGGATAGAGATGGTATTTTTTTAGGATTCAGTTTCAATCGTGAATGAGCTGCAATCTTATACCAGGTCAGTATAAATAACTTTATTTTCTTCTAGAGTTTTTTCACAATATATTTTAGAGCTTACAAATAATTTATGCGAATATTGCCATAATACTTAAGTTGGAACAGGCATACGTATAGGCCATTTGCATTGACCACTTTAAGCCTACCATTCATCTACCTACTAGGTGAAGACTAAGCAATAACCAAAAAGCTTTGTAACAAGCAGGCAAATTAAACACGCAGGCTTGTCATTATAAAAGGTTAGTTAGCATCATATATTTATTTTAAAAAGTTATTCCAGATTCCAAAAATCATCAATTAGTAGCACCAACAACAAATATTCATAGTTTAAGCACACAAAATTATAATGACTGCTACTTCCTGGTAAACCTTACTTGCAGATATGCTAAATATGCATCTACAATATCTTCAAACGTATTGGCCTTATCATCCATCAACCTACACTTAGAAACAAGGTAAATATGGTCAGACTATTATGATTAAGCTTGCTCATTAAACTATGAAAAAGGACGTCGTTGTTTACATCACAGTACTTATAACCATAAGTAAATAATCCACTATCAAGATAGTGATAACTGAGAGTAAACAATTTTATTCAGGGGATTGAAGACAATGGAGACTGCAATACAATCAAAGTGACAATAGCAATAGCTGAGACAAAGGAAATTAAATAATAAAATCATCATTGCCTTTGGTAATAGCTGCTTTGCTTGAGTGCATAAAGTTCAAATAGATGTCGAGCATTGGACCCAAGCACATCAGCAATCACTGTCCACTACAGTTCCAGAAAAAAAAAGAAGCACAAATTAAAATTGAGTAAGAATCCCAGAAATTCAATACTGCTGAAGAAAATGATAGAGTTTCTGAATGAAAAATATGGTTTGCTATTTTCTATTAAAACAAAGGAATCAACAGTTTTCCCTTTAGTATAATCTGTTTGCTTAATTCTCTAATTTCAGGCACTTCACCCCCTTTTCAGTTTTCCAATTAATGTACTGCAAGAAAGCAACAATACTTCATTACCTCTGAATTACTGAAATAATCGTCAACCACATGCATTTTAGCTTCCTGTGGAGTCCATCCAAAAGTCTGGAAATGAAATAAACAAAAATGAGTGACTTACATCCAAATCATTCAAATAGAAGCTCCGAAATAAAAAATGTGAACGTTAAAACACAAAAGGGAGAAAGGAGAGAGAGAGAGCAGATCACAGTTTCAATTTTTACCTCACGAGAGACAAAGATGTCTGGAAATCCAAAATCCACAAAGGCTTGATAAGAATAATAGCTGAAGATAACAGTATTTATAAAATTCAGAAGCATTCGGAACAAGAGCAATAATTGAAGAGGGAAAGAGATCTAAAGAGCAGACACAACATTTTACTTGGACAAGATGAGGAGGAAAAAAATGAAGTTGATAAATTTTGATACTTTTGACGCCACCAAGCAAAAGTGTTAGGTTGGGTATAACCACAAGAACTGAAACATGTCTAGGCCAAATGAACATTCCTAATTCCACGAAGCAAACAATATACCATTCAATAATATGAAACATTCTGACAACCAGTGCAAGAATAGCCATATGGATATTCCTAATTCTGTTATGCAAAAACATAAATTCTGTCAACCTGTGCAAGATATCTGAGTCTGGGTTTGTCAACTATCACTCACTATGAAACAATGAAAGCATCAGATAGTATCTGCTATGTACTGAGTACTTTTTTGACAGGGAATCCCATTTGTATGATGGGGATTTGGGAATATTATTGACATTTTGGCTTGAATGTTTAAATCTTTCGTTTTGCGTAGCACCCTGTTGGTGCCTCTGATGATATTTATTTCTCTTCTCAAAGAAAAAGTATCTATAATGGCCATGCAAACAAAATTTTTTGAAGCTCAATGGTGAAAACACAGAAGATGACCAACAATGACTGTCACAATGCTCACCCAATGTCTCAGCTAAAGTTACCTCTATAAAAGCTACCTTAGCATGGTAGTAAGCATTGGCCAAGGTGCTACTCATGCAATTTCCATGTTACTTCGAATTCTAAAAATTCACAAGCAACTTTAATAGGGACAATAGAAATATCGAAGTAGTGTAGAAAGCATATGGTAAAGAAATAAAAGGAAACAATAGACTAACAATTCAGAATTCAACTGCATACTATCTTACAAGTACCCAAGAGCTAAAACAGCCACATTAGAGAGAGATACAATTTGCAGTTGTGGAACAAAACCGTGTTTTTATTTAACTATAACAGAGCCAAATATTAAAAAAAAAAAAATTAAAAAAAAAAAAAAAAAAATTACAGAACTACTAGGGAGATAACTTAAAACACAATCTATTAATACAAAATGAAGAACAAGAAAAAGAAGGTACGGAGCTAACCTATCTGAGGTCACAAGTATGATAGGCAGGCAACGCTCGTTTGCACCCAATGCAATTATTCTCCATATAAGACTGTCGTGATATATTGATGGGCAGACAGTTAAATCATCCGCCAAAGAAGCATTCTTTAGAACTTCGATGTTGTTTATGACCAACTTTGGCTGTCAAGTTAATGCAAAACTACCTATCAAATCTATTCTAAATTTCCAATAATAAAAAGATAACCAGAAAGTTTTTCTTTCCAACTAACATTCAGTCGTGGTCACAGTAAACAGCAAACAAGGCATTTGATCAATTTCTGCAATTCTAGATGCCCACTTGGGTTACCTGAAAATAATCAATTTCTGCAGCTTGTGACAACAACTCAAGTAGCAAACAAGGCCAATCAGTACATGAATGCGCTAGCGATCTGGAGAAGCCACCAGTCTTATTCAGATGGGAAATGGCATTAGCTCTCCACTCTTGTTGCACCTTAATCACTTCCTTCGCCAATCTCAGCGCCACAATCCCTTCCCTATAATACGAGGCTTCTTCAATAGACAACCTCTTGGTATTTTCCTGAAAACCCAAAATCTCATCGATCTCTGCGGCATTTGATCTAGCAGATAGTGCGAAGACTGCCCTGTCCCACAACACCGAGCTGGTAACATTAGTGGAAAGAACATTTTTTGAAGCGTTATTATTGCTGTGAAGTATCCGGCGAAGAGCGGTGTTGAGCCCATGCCATTTGTGGAGGGTAGAGAATATTTGGTGGGAGCTTATGGTGCCAAGCTTGACGCCCACTTCAGCCATGGACTCGAGGCAGTTCTCGAGCTGGGTTCGGCAATTAGACAAAGTGGGTGGATCGCAATTGGACCAAGATGCCCAAGGGAAGGACTGGTTGTACTGCGGATGATGATCCTTGATTGACCGAGCAAAATCTACGTAGCCGGTAAGGTGGGGACCTTTGTTCCAGTTCCCAAGCAGACCTGAGAAACAGAAGAAAATTGTAAGTTGTGATTCGAAATATCGAGTTTGAAACTCTGAAAATGGCTGCTGGAAGATACGTTCTAGGATGAGAGTGGTTTTGCCGACGCCGCGGGGACCATGGAGGATGAGGGGCTGAGGAACACGATGGTGTTGGGCATGGTTGTTTAGCACAGTTTCGAGTAAGGGTCTGGGTATTATCTTCCATGCTTTGTTGACCATTGCTGTCTTCTTGCTCCGTCGGATGTGAATTTCTCCGAGCTGGGGTTTTGTGGACTGTGACCCGTAGAATTTCAGGGGGTTTAGGGGCCAACAATGAGCACTTGCGAAACAAGCTCTTGCGCTCAAAGGGGAATCGACTTTTTTTTTTTAAAAAAAAAAAAAAGCCTAAAATACATATTTGTCTCTATAACATTTATTTTCTTTCAGTTTTGCCCTTAAAATAATCACGGAATTTCTAAACCTTTGTCACTAATTATATTAAATAATATTACATATTTAAATTAGTGACTTGTGACATGATTATTATGATTAATTTAAATATTTTTAGATATACAGTAATTAATTAAATACAAAATCAGGATAAGAATAAAATTTAAATTAAAATTATACTTTTAACCTTTTTAATAAATTACCTTAGTTTCTATAAAAGAACAATCATAAATTAGGAGAAGTTAATAAGAAAGTGATAGTTCTCCATAAAATAATAAAAATACATTTAAAAACTAAAGTAATTTTTTTCCGTTTCATTTAAAGATTTTAAGTTTTATTTAGCAAATCTTAAATTATATTATGTTTTCTGATTATGGATGGACAAGAAGATGAGTTTTGGCAGACGACAAATATGAAATATAAGAATGTATGTATATATATATACCCAGAGAAAGTTATATGAGTTTGGAGCCCACAATATATTTTCTTCCTGTCTTTAACCTAATTTTTTCCATGTCTCCTACTCTTTGGAACTTAACTTTTCCCCATATTATATGAAATCCATTACGTGCCGGCCCCATTCATCAATTGCCATATAATCTATATTTAAAAAGCATTACAAATTATTATTTCAGTTCTTGACTATTTTCGATTTTGGCATGCTTTTAGTTATGGTTTAAAGGGGTTTTTTTTTAATTATAATTATAATTTAATTACTAAATTTGCAAAAATAATGAGTAAGACATAAATAACTTTTATTACATTATGAAAGAAAAAAAATTTGTTGTTAGTTCACAAATAAATTATAATCGAAATAGTTTAAGAATAAATTAAAAGTACTTAATGGACTAAAGTGATAATAATTATATTTACTTAATAAGTTTAGTTTAAATGGTAGGCAATACGTAGGGTTTGTTTATAATAAGTAAAGTTCAAAAAAATATTGGAAAACATATATATTTAATTTAAATTAAGTCATTGATTTTGAACTTCATTAAATTATCATTAATTTTTTAACATTATAGTTGACCACTTTTTTCATAAAGTTCGTACTAATGGTTGGTTTTGTTCTAAACATGTTGTTCATAATTTTTAATACACAATTATATTATATTTAATATTATATAATTTATGTTGTGTATATTTTAATTTATCTCCTTAATTTTTTAAATTACGAATTGAGCAAATTTGTCGGAGTAAACTTCACAAAAATGTCGGCCCCTATGAATTTCAACTTCAACTCATTCATTATCGTCTAACCAACAAAAATTAAATAATTTTATCTAATAAAATACAAAACATATATATTTTTATATTAGTGAAATTTTGTTTCACAATAATAAAAACTATATTATTTTTCAAAATAATAGTTTACACTAAAATTTATATTAAAAAATAAACTTAAGACTTTAATTTAATTTAAATAAAAATTGAACTATGTTTTTTCTTTTTCTTTTTTTTTTTTGCTTGAATTAGTATTATTGTACTTATTTAATTACTTCACAAAGTAAATAAATAAAATAAAATTATTCTATAATAAAAAGTAAAAAAAATATATTTTTTTTTGTCAAAATGACGTGAGCTAAAAGCGTTGAAGGTCGGTGACTGTGACCAGCCTAGCATGGAACTAATACACCAGTTGGTTGCCTCTTCCCACATTTCTCCCGAATCTCCATCTCTCTTTCTCTCTCTCTGTTCACTTCTACTCAAACTCTCTTTTCATCATTCTCCTCTTCTTCCTCCTAACTCTTCCCTTTCTTTTGTTTTCTCTCTAAAACCAATCCTACAAAACCCTCTCTGTTTCATGTGCTTCGCCTAACTCCATTCTGGTCCTTACCCGGACCGACCCCAATGCATCCCTCCGCCGTCACAACTGCCGCGGAGCACTCTCCACCGCCTGCGCCACTTCAAACCCTGCTTGACCTCATCACTAACGTCCTTTCTCTTCTCCTTCTCTCCTCTCTCACCGTCCAATCCTTCCTCGGAAGGTGGCAGGTGCTCCGCCCCAAGCTCACATCTCTACAGTCCTCTCTTTCTTCTATTTCCGATTCTCCCCATTGGTCAGAGAACCCTTTGCTCCACACCCTTCTCCCTTCTCTCCTCTCTACTCTCCAGCGGCTTAAGTCTCTCTCTGACCAATGCACTCTCTCCTCCTTCACCGGCGGCAAGCTCCTAATGCAGAGCGACCTTGATATGGCATCTGCTTCTCTCTCCAACCATCTTCAGGGCCTTGATTTATTAATCAGATCCGGCGTCCTCCACCAGTCAAACGCTATCGTTTTGTCTCACCCGGGTCCCGGTTCCGCCAAGGAAGACTTGGGCTTCTTCATCAGAGATCTTTTTACTAGGTTGCAAATCGGCGGCATCGAGTTCAAGAAGAAAGCTCTCGAGTCACTGCTGCAACTGTTTAGTGAGGATGGAAAATCGGCGGGTTTGGTTGCTAAGGAAGGTAATATTGGGTATCTGATCAGTCTTCTCGATCTTCACAATCATCCTTTGATTCGAGAACAAGCGATCTTGGCCGTGTCGTTACTGGCATCGGGTGGTGATGAGTCGAGGAAGATTGTGTTTGAAGAAGGCGGATTGGGTCCTTTGCTAAGAATTCTCGAAACAGGGTCCATGCCGTTGAGAGAGAAGGCGGCCATTGCTATTGAGGCAATAACCACCGATCCAGACAATGCTTGGGCCATCTCCGCGTACGGCGGGGTAGCTGTATTGGTCGAAGCGTGTCGATCTGGATCCCAGGCGACCCAGACGCATGCTGTTGGTGCGCTTCGAAACATTGCGGCCGTGGAGGACATGAAAACGGCTTTGGGAGAGGAAGGAGCTGTTCCAGTTATAGTCCATCTCTTAGTCTCAGGGACCCCTGTTGCGCAAGAAAGAGCAGCTAATTGTATGGCAATACTCGCCTCTTCCAGCGAGTATTTTCGCGCCTTGATCGTACAAGAAAGAGGGTTACAGAGATTAATGCATTTGATCCAAGATTTAACAAGTTCCGATACAATCGAACAGGTTTTGTGGGCAATCACTTCTCTATCAGTATCAGATGCCTCCGCGAGGGTTTTAGGTTCATCAACCATCTTCATTATTCAATTAGGCGAGTTTATCAAGCATGGAAACTTAATACTGCAACAAATTTCAGCATCACTACTTGCTAGTCTATCAATCAGCGACGGGAACAAGAGGGCAATTGCTAGTTGTATGGCATCTTTGTTGAAGCTGATGGAGTCGGCGAAGCCGGTGGGGCTGCAAGAGACCGCGGCCCAGGCGATGGTGTCCTTGTTGGCTGTCCGGTCTAATCGAAAGGAGCTGGTGAAGGACGAGAAGAGCGTGATGCGTTTGGTGCAAATGCTGGACCCGAAGAACGAGTGCGTCGCCAAGAAGTTCCCCGTGATGGTGGCGGCGGCAACGCTATCGGGGGGCAGCCTAGGGTGTAGGAAAAGGCTGATTGCGTCCGGAGCAAGTCAATATTTGCAGAGGCTTTCGGAGATGGACGTCGCCGGCGCCAAGAAGGCGCTGCAGAGACTCTCCGGTAATCGCCTCCGGAGCATCTTCTCCAGGACTTGGAGGGAATAAGCACAAAAGACACTAACCCCACGCCAACAAAAGGTACGTTCTTCGGAGGATACAATAGGAATTTCATATTATTTTTCCTTTGTTTGTTTCTGCTCACCAATAGCATGCAGCCACGTGGATCTCATTTATTGTTTCCGAGCCAGTTTATTAACTGTCCGCTATTTTAGCGTTTATGAATTTTCTCTTATCCAATCACATCTTGCCACGTTAGGTCCGCATGAAACTTGGCATAAATTTAATTATTAGAAGAATAGAGGTGCAGAAATTAGAAATAATTCTTTTAGCGAATTTAGGAGAGTAATAATTATATTTTAGAATTGAGGTCATAGAAATTAGTTAATGACAGTTTTATCCAACAGAAATGATGGTTAGACCATCAAGCCTTGTCTGTCTCGTCTTTTTCGGTACACATGATCCATTTCTGTAGGCCCCACCAACTCTGTGGGGGCGAGTACGTCGCTGACGTGGATATTTTCATTGAAATGAAATTTCATAATTAGGCTAAAACTTGTTCAACAATATTACAATCTGTTATTATTTATTTTATTAATTAAATATAAATGCATATTAAAGTGATGTCGTTTTGACCCTAGACCATGGGCCATAGTCAACAGTCAACACGTGACTGGCGTTGTTAATTAATTAATTTATATATTTTTTTAAAAAATAAAATATTTTTGTACAGGAGGAGTTCGTTTGGATTTTCTAACAGTCGGAAGAATGAGAAACTACTTCTTTCTCACTGGACAAGCAACCAACCAACAAACAAACACACATCGTATACTGCAAAACTTATTATTATATTCTCTAAGTCCGTCGTTTAAGTAACTATAATCTGTGATTTTAAAAAAATTAATTTTCGTAATCTTATATGACGAGAAGGGATGGATGCGGTTTTAGGGAGTATCCTCGTTTTGCTTTTTTAACCCTTTTTTTTTTTAATTTTTAAATCCCAAATTGAGTCAGTGATGAAGCTGAGCTGTAAGGGAGAAGGGTTATGATGAAGGTTATGTAATTTTTTTTTTTTTTTTTTAATTTTTCTCATCTGATATTGTTCCAGTAACTTTGTTTGATAATGTACATCCCACCATGGATTCTTCAATTACAAATTAAGAGTGCAGCTTTTTCCATTTTTCTTTTTTCTTTTTTCCTTATTGTATTTTCTGTGATCCATGAATTGTCTGCTCTGTTTGGCTTCTTGCTGAGGAAAAAGGCAATTGACACTATTATGAATGTGATTATGGTGATGATGATGAGAATGATGGTGATGGTGAAAGGGTTGATTGAGATGGATTTATTGAGGGTGCAATAATAGAGGGTACCCCTCACCCTACTCAATAGTCCTAAAGCTTAGGGTAGAATTTAAGAAAGATGGGGGAACCAGATTTCTCCATCTGGGTTTCTTCTCTTTCCAAGTGGGTAGTGAGAATCAATGGCTATGATGACGGTCTTTCTTTAACCCCCTGGCATCTGATGCTTGATAACACTTCCGTCAGTCCTTGTTCATGGTGGGGTACCAACTAGGCCCCTCTCATGCTTGTTTGTTTCGCATCTTGTTTTCTGAATTCTATTCTAGTCATACCACATTGGTCAGAGATAAAGTGAGACTTCTGTTAAAGATTACTGAACTCAGCATTATCAAATATATGAGATAATAAGGTCAAGCCCTATACTAGAGGATGGGGCTATAGTTATATAATAAAGATTATGAATTGATATACATAGAAATGAAAAGAGTGAGAGAGAAGATATATAGGGAAGTGGGTCCTGGAGATATTGAGAATCTGGAAAAAGGAAAGAGAGAGGGATAAGAGAGGAGGAAGGCTCGGCGCAGATGTAGGCAAGAAAGGGTTACTGTAAAGGAGAAGAGAGGAAACAACATTTGCGGGTCCCTAAGTGGAAGCGAAGGAAACAGCGACCTCACATGGTAAAGAAAGCGATGGTCTTTATCGTTTTATACGGCACATGAACACATGTGTCTGTGTATGTCTATATAGAGCTTGATTATATTATATTATATCATATATAATGGGTTTGTGTGTGAGTGGGGTGTGGTCCATTTCTTATTCACAAGTTCACATGCTATTGCTTCTTCTTCTTTGTGTTTGGTGCCTGCCTGCTCCGGATATATGTTTTTTGAATCTGATGCTTGCCAGTAAAAATTTTTAAAAAAGTAGAAAAAGGAAAAAGTGGGGGACTTTTTGATATTTTATATATTTTTGGGGGATTGATGGTCAATATTTCTCGTTAAGTTTTTAAAGCAAATATAAGCAAAAGCTGTAAAGCTTCGCGCCCTCTCCTGCTCTTTCCTGTCTTGTGCGTCATCATTACACCTCGCCATCCCCGCCTTCTCTTTTCCCGCCCAGCAAAACTGTAGCGTAAGCATCACTCCCTGCAGCTACCGCTCTCGGTTTCTTCACGGTTTTACTACTAGGGTTTTTAGTGGGTAAAAAATGTTAACCACTCCAGGATTGATTTGGTTTTAGATGAAAAGTTAATTTCTATTATTATCAAAACGCAATTTTGATAGAACAAATCTAGAATTTTATCAGACGTTTTAAAAGTCGGCAATTAGTTGAATTATGTTGACATCATTTTATTTCTATATGTAATATAATATATTGATAAAAAAATGAAATTTCACCCAACAAAGATGCTCAACAAATACTATATATATATATATATATATATATATATAGTGGGTATGACTGTTATTCTCGTGTGATTTAAGATTACATCAAACTTAAATAACATAAATTTGTTGTGTTCAGTTTCATTTGGGCTCTGTTTTTCAAAATAGAGCCATGATCTTTGATAATGGGTATGGTTGAGGATAGAGATGAAGAGATTTTGAATGTATTTGGGGCAGAAGGGTCCACATTTGAAGCCCATCCACCATCTCCATTATCATCTTGAATTATATGTTAGTTTTCATTTAAGAATAATAATATAAACTACTCTTTTCATAAATTCAAATAAAATATTATCTCCTCAAAATCCCACATTTTTTTTCCGAAAAAAGAAGTAGAGAAAATATACCCCTACATCAACAAAATTCTTAATATAATTAATTTCCTAAGGAACTTTTTTACTCAGTCTCCCAGAAAACAAAGAAAGAAAGAAACCATGGTTGAACGGTGATCCAATGGATAGATCGTAATGGAGAAAAATCTTAATTAGTTTCTTTCTTTTCATGATTAATGTTGGATACGAAACAAATTATATCTATTGATTAGTTTATATAGTTAATCATACAATTAAAAATGTACAAAATAGCATGATTACTTCACTAGATAATTAAGTCGTGCTTAGATATGATCTTGTTTTGGTTCTGCAGCCACAGCTGCTGTTCCTGCAACAAATTTTGTTGATCAACGGATCCACTATGAAGCACAGAATCGCCGGATGTTGACGACGACGCAAAACTATGATAAGGAGCAAATGGGTCGTCCTCGTTGTTTGAAAATTCAATGCTCGTTTCAGGAAACTCTGCGCGAAACGTCGGCGTCGCCGGAAAAGCCGCGAAAAACGTGGGAGCCGCCGGAGGCATGTAATTGGTGTCTTCTTCAAGGAATGGATTGTACTGGCGAGGAGGCGCCATCGTACCTGGTTGATTACTGAATAAATCAACTTCTGCAGTGGCGTTCTCTGGTCCATCAATGGCGGATTCCTGTGAAATTTGAGTTTGATTCTGTACCGAACTCTCTATCAATGCAAGCTCCCATATGTTTGTTGGGTCTGTCTCGTTGGAAGACTGAATCTTTGGTGTTGAGCTTTCTGCAAGAACAAGTTCCCAACAATCTCTGTTTACATTAGTCGATTCCAACGAGAGAGTCTGGTCCGATCCTTGTTCGTATTGTCGTGGAACGAAATCATCATCATCTTCAAACAGGACGAGATCGAGGGTAATGTTTGATTCTTCTTCAATCGGCAGCGAATGATTTGAAGCCGTCTCGATGCCATTAAAATCTTCTTGCTGTGATTGCTTGTCTGGTTCGGAGTAACACGACATAGGCGGGCTTGTTGTCGGGTCTGTACCCACGCTCATGAGATCCTCCAACGAGGTTCTGTAAGAACCCAGATCAGATAATATATCGGAAGAGAGCTCACATGACTCGCCGCGATCGGAAGTTGACGGCGGTGGAGCTGGAAGAAGTAAATTAGGAGGTGGTGATCTCCCGGTTGCAGGGAATGAAGATTGATCTTTCAAGAATTCCTGCAACGTCTCCACCAGCTCTTCTGATATTTTCTGCACACTCGGATACTCAGAACTCCTTCCCACTCCATTAGTCTTGCAGGAATCATAGAAAACACAGAGCTCTTCGAATTGTTTCGCGGCCCGAACACAAGCTTGAAAGGCATTGACGCAAGACTGGTAATGTAAATGAAAGAAGCTGTCAAGGAGGAGAGCGAGCCCGTCGGAAATATCTTTGTAAAGGTCAAAGCTTTCCTGTACAATGGCGTAGAGAGAAACCTTGACAAGCTTATTCGATCTAGCAACTCCGGTGGGTCTGGTGGCGATGGCTCTGTCAAGCAACCGCTGCCAGTAAAAAATCTTGTCGAGCAACATGGCGGGTTTCATGTCGCGAACGGGCTCGAAACGACGTCGTCCGCTTCTGCTTCGGCTGTTCTCCGGGTTCCGGTTGGTGTAACGTCTCTGCAACTTGGCTTTTAGAAAGCAATCGAGGCGCTCGTCGAGATAAAGCGCGAAAGTCCTGACAAATGCGGTGTAATCCCAGGGGCTGGAGTTGGAGTCATCTCTGAAGCTGGAGAGATTGAGAATCTTGGCGCCACGTTTCATGGCATGAAGAACTTCTCGGGGGAAATAAGGATCGCCATCTTGAAAAATTCGAAGAACCAGCATGAGGGACTTCAAGGCGACAATCCAGTTACGGGTCCGGCCAATCCTTTTGCCGATGGCTCGAGCACAAGAAGCGGCGTGAACTTTGTTGGAGGAGATGAGGGCGAGAACGTCGGCGACGTAGCGATCGTCGATTGGGCCTTCGTCGTGGGTGGTAGCTTTGAGGATGGCCACCTCGATGGCGGACGCATTGTTTTTGGAAACCTTGGCGAGACTAATGCTGGTTTGGTCTTTGACTGCGCCGATTGCTTTTCTCAACTTGCTTGGCATGTTGAAATGAGAAGATTCTCTCTTTTCTTTTTTTTTTTTTTTACCTTAGCAGTGAAAAAACTGAAGAGATTCTTTTGGGGGTAAATTTTGTGTTGTAGAGACAAAAGGGTTAGTTTTGAATGAGTGATTAATATATGTTTTGGGATTTGAGTGGTGGAGAGTAAATAAGCTAAAAACCTCATAGACATGATGAGGAAGGACTACAGTTTCGTTGACCGAGTTATTAAAAAACTAGGTCAGATCCCTTATTAGCCTTTTTTTTTTTTTTTTTTTTTTTTTTATTCTTTGATGTAATTAATTATACTTAGGGATAGTAATTAAAAAGACAAAAGTAAATTCCATAAATAGTGAAAGAAACAAGAGTTGGGGTAATTAGTAAGAGGAGTGTAAACTGTCGTTATGAGCTGCGGACGTACGCTTCTATTTTGTGGGTTAAAGAAGTGAATGTGGGCTTAATTTGGACCAGGCCCGGTTGTGAACGGAGAGTAATCCACACTGTTGTCATCTCTACCACTCACTTACTCATGAATCCGGAAGAAAAGTCCGAGTTGGAGTGGGTCTGCGGGCACATGGGCTCAACATTATGCAGGAATGGCTTAACTATGTTTTTACTTTTCACAGGGTGTCATTTGTTGTAAATTTAAAATAATGTTGTGTCTCTTTTGCAGCTTCTGTGGACTCTAATCTACACGATCTAAACAAGGGCGAGGAGCAGGAATGAACTCAAAATGGAATTCCCAAATATCATCAGTTTATTATTGTTAGGAAATGGAAACTGTAGGGTCTCGGTGCAGCATCAATCAATGGCTTTCCCAATAGAAAAATTTACGGTCAAGCCACTCAATCCCCCTTTTTTGTCAGTTGTGGATAATACCATACCTGCTGAGCAATCAACAGCCGATTCATTCGCCCAATCACAGAATCCACATTCATCTTCTAATTTCACCTACCTTTTTTATTCTTTTGAATTGATTGATGTCCACATTTAAAAGGGATGATCATTCAAAGTGCTGCTGCAATTATATCATTTCTTACTTACATATTCAACTTGTGCCACCCGTTTTCCTAATCCACCAAGGATACTGTTTGTAACGTTTTAACTATTCTAGTCAAATAAAAAGCAGAAAAAGAGAAAAAGTGCAAGTGACCCATAAAATTTAGTGAATGTTTTTTTTTTTTGCTTTTACTTATAAACAAAGTAGAGTTGAACAGTAATTATCATCTAACAGACCCACCCAAATACTTTTAAACTTACTACTCTCTCAAAAAACCCTCCTCCTCCTCTCCTCAGTATCCCGTCGGGAACACGCATTCTCCAAACTCTGCATTTCACAACAAACATTCATTATTCTCTACATAATTATTTTAAAAAATAAATTAATTACTATTAAAAACCGATGTCAGAATCTATGTTTGACCTCTTTCGAATTTACCATTTTACCCTTCAATCACTCGAGTCTTCAATTTCAGATGGCAGCTGGCCAACTTTACTGCCGTTTTTAACCCCACTCCCTCATTGGGAAACTCTCGTTGCTTACGGGCAGAGATTCCCATCATCTCCACTCACGTGGTTGTTTCGCACACTACCCTACCCTACACTACACTCCGGCACATGTTTGCACTTCCATACCTCTTTTTACTAAAATGCCGCTCCCGACTACGGGCACTCAAGTCCCAAATGAAAAGCACAGTCTTGCAAATTTTATGCAACAAGAATGACTTGCATTAAGGGGGGTTAAATAAATACGTACTGGGCTGTTGCGAGACGACGTAGGCCGCACCGCCGAAATAACAGGACCCTCCGGCTCGCCTTTGCTTCTGATAGTAACTGTTGAACGCGAACGAAGCGTGGGCCTCCAGCGTGTTCGGGTCGTAACACGTCGCATCCGGCTGGATCGGACGGCAGTCGGCTCCTCCCTCGCCGCACGCGAAATCTAGACCTGCCTGCAGCTTCTCTTTCCCCGCCTCGCCATTCGCTACGCACCACGTGTTTCCGGACGAGCTCTTCGACACACCGCCTCCGCCGTTGACGGGAGACCGGCTGTCACGGTAATTCTTGAGTCCTTCTACCGTGAAGGGAATGTCGTAGACTTTGTCTTCGTTGGGGTAAAAGAGACCGTAGTTCCTCTCTGATGTGGGACCGGTCTTCTTGTTCTCGTTGAATAAAGCGAAGATATAAACGGTGAAATCTGCTTGGGGTCTAAGAGGGCTTCCACCACCGGTGAGAATCCTACGGACCAGATTCCCGTTGTACGCAGCAGCATGCTCTGGACTCGCACCAATCTCATTTTCGTCTCCTTTAGACGGCCACCCAGTTTCGGTAACAACGATTTTGATGTCGTCGTACTTCAGAGCGGTCATGGCGGCGAAAACGGCGTCGACTTGGGCGTCAAAGAGGTTGAAGTACCTTAACCCATTACCCGAATCAACGACACCTGGGTTGTCCCTAAATAAAGCGTAATCCAAAGAGATGACGTCAGAGTTTGCCTCGTAGGCGAAGAATGGATAGACATTTATCATGAGGTAGGATCCGGTCTGGCGGAGGAAATCCAACATGGGCTTGATTGCGGTGTCAACCAATTCGGGTCGAAAGGACCCGGCCGAGGACGGGTACGAATTCTGCAGAGCACTCAGGGCAATGGGGGACGATATTTTAATGGCGGAATGCAGATTGTACTTGACAAGAGCTTGGTGAACATTTTTCATGGCGTGTATGAGGTAAAGAGTGGTGTTGTGGGCATCCACGAAAACCTCGTTTCCAACGGCAATGGCTTCTATTTCAGTGGATGGGTAGTAAGCGGCAATATTTCTCTCAACCCATGAGTAGGCGAATGAGGGACGTTTGGCTGCGTTAAAGAGGAGTTCATTGGGTAAATCTACAGTGACCTTGATTCCAGATCCGGACAATGCCTTGAGAACTGCCGGGTCAGTGTCGTAAACCTTGACCCGCTCCAAACCCTGAGATTTTAGAAGCTCGACCACTTTTACTGCTGATGGCAGGTCGTTTGCGGTTCTGCCATAGTTCACTCCAATGTAACTCGCACCTGCAAAACCCAGAAAATGCATAAAAACTTAGGTAAACAAATCTACCACAACTTCAACGCAAAAAAAAAAAAGCGACCGCGAGACTGTTTGGTTCTCAGGGGAAAACATGGAAAGAAAAAGGAAATGCTGTAAAAAAGAAAAAACATATTTCATTCCCAAGCATTTCTCGACTTTCATTCGCTTTCTCTGGAACCTAGCAGATAACGGGAAGGTGGGTCTTGTTGTTGTACTTACCTGAGTAAGCAATCTTGGAGAGTAGCAGGAAGACGGAAAGAAGAAAGAGATGCCCCATTCTCTGGTTTCTTGGAGAAACGCAGAGCGAAAGATGTGGAGAAGAGAAAGTAGAGTGAGTCGCGAGAGTGGAAACTGAGCTGTTTAACTAGGGAAGTGGAGCCAGTGGAACAAGGTGGTGTGGTAATATAAAAGGAGGAGCGAGAATAGTAAAACGGTGAGTTTTTTGTATTATATTATTTTACATAGATCGAGATGGTGGGATGGGATGGGACCCACGTGTCAGTTAAATGACAAAAACAAAAGTCAGAGAGCCGCTGTACGAACCACGATCTCCCACTTGGGTTAGCTAATGGACTGTTACCTGCCTATTTTAAAAATTATAACAGTTTGGGGCACTCACGTGGCCCCACCACGTCGGCTCAGAAACTTGACCGGTTTATTCTACACCCTGATTCTACGACTTCTTGGGGTTGACCCTCCTTAGAGATTCTGACACGTGTTCGGTGATAAAGATAGATGTCAAATGTGTGCAGATGGTGATGAGGTTCATTCATTGCGGTGGACGTGCGGTGCAGGGTAATAATAAACGGCCGTTAGAGTTGTTGGAGTCAATCTACCAGGCGAATCAGGTTTGCTCCATCTTTTGAACGTTAGGTTCTGAAATGCGAGGCTGTAACTTCACATTAACAAATTTCATAAAATAATTTTTACTATTTAATAAATAATCTTTTACCTAATTGGAAAAGAGGTCAGCTTAACTTACTCATTAAATTCTACTTAGTATTTTGAAAAAATAAATTTTATTTGTTACCACTACTAATATGATGAAACAGAAATTTAAACGTTAAATTATATTTAAATATTACGAATTTAAATTTTATTAAAATATATAAATTATTAATTTATAAATATATTATAAATTAATAATAATTAACTTATAATATTTAAATTAATATAATTTATTAATATAATAATAAAATTACAGTAATTAAATTAATATTTAATGCAGTTAATTATAATATTTTTTGGAGAAAATAATAATTTATTGTGATTAAATTCTAGTCACTAGCAAATATTATCTAAAAAATTAATAATTTCATGTTAACTAGTATTAAAAATGTAATTATATTAATTAAAGATTAAATAAATTAAGATTAAAAATAAAGCCAAATCATATAATACAAAATTGCATGAAATAGACTTGTAGTTGTCAGGCTTCTAACGAAAACAAACAAGGACTTACTCCTTTCAATGGAACGTTGGAAATTACATTTAAATAAATACTTGTCATTTCGCGGGCTAAGAAACATTCAATACGCTACGCATATTGACAAATTGATAAAACCATTTTATCATTTCTTCCACACCAAAACGACCTTAATTTACTGCGTTTTGGGCCTGTATATCCTTCTTACACTTTTAATGGGCTCCCCCCCCCCCAAACTCCCCTTAAACATTTTGGTATGTTTTGTGGAATTAGTAAAATATTTAAATATTTGCCTTTTTTTTTTTTCAGAGATTGAAAATATTTTTTAAAATTAAAATAATCAGTAAATTTTTAATTACTATATAGTTTTTTAAAGAAATTTTTTATTTTAGCCTTTAAATTGATTTAAAAATAAAGTTTAAAAATGTTAATCAAACGCAAATAATAATGTACAACATCGTGATAATTGACATTATTGACGTGCCACACGACGCCCAACTCTCTCCCTCCTTTCCAGGTACAAATGCTGAAATTCCACGTGGACCAATAACATTCTGCCATATCAACATCCGAAAAAATAAAATAAAATAAAATAAAACTTCGTACGCAACAAAGGCCGACTATTTATAAAGGGAAGAAGAAGAGTCTTCTTTTTGTCTTATCTTTGTTGGGGACAAACCCTAATTTCTGAGCTGCGAAAAATGTCGGGAGTGAAGAGTCAGGACGAAGACAAGAAGCCCAACGATCAATCGGCTCATATTAACCTCAAGGTTAAGGGTCAGGTTTGTTTCTTTTTCTTTCAATCGCTATTTGAAGAGGACTTTCACTTCCTAGGCTTTTATCTTTTCGCAAGTTGGGCGCTTTTGTCGTATTTCAGGTGGTGGTGTTGTGCATGCGTGCAATTCTCTGTTTGTCTTCGAATAAAGTAAAAGAAAATGAGTAATTTTGTTGTTTCGGGTTTTTTTATTCAACGAGCGAAAAGCAGTTCGAGTTCAGGATTTTTTTTTTCTTTTTTGTTTTCCCTGTTTATATTGAAACGGTGTAGAAGATTTTGGAGGACTGAAAAATGATCGGGGAAACTGTGCTTTTCCTTTTTGGTTGTTTAAAATTTTCTGATGGATTCTATAGTGGACGATTCAATGCCTTGCCATTGTATACTTTTCTGTGTGGGAGGCAGGTAGGGAGTGTCGACCATAGATAAATTAAGGAGGCAGGGCAAGATATTGGTGAATGCGTGTTAGTGTCACCTCTGTAGAACTGCCAAGGAGACTTGTAATCATGTGCTTCTCTGGTGTATGGATTTTTAGGAATCAACTGGATTATGGCTGAATTTTTTAAGGGTTGAGTTGCGTTTGGGAGGGGATCAGCGGGAGGAGGAAACAAGTGGATCTCATTCCGCTTACCATTTTTTGGGCTGTCTGGAATGAAAGGAATAGAAGAGTTTTTGAAGGGGTTGAGGTTGATAATGACTTTGATTTGATTAAGAGTAAATGGTTCTAGACACTGGCTTTTTTTATTCAATCTATAAAAAAATTCATGTCAATTGTATTTAAATGCCTGAACTAAGCCTGGTTAATGATTGTAGTCATAGGAAGTTGAGGAGGTTAAATATCCAAGTAAGAATTCTCTGGCCTTTTCATTTCACATTTTAATAAGTTCTTTGAGTGAGTTAAGATGTACAGTTAATATTTTGAAGCATCACTTTTTTTAATATTTTGACTGCTGCTACATTTAAATGCATAAGTGTGTTTCCAATTTATATTTGGATTTTATGATTTTTCCCCAATTTCTGCTAGTTGTATGAAATTTAATCCTTTACATAATGTTATTTGAGTTTCTTTTCTGATAACTTGATCTTCTTGAACTAACTTTTTCTCTTCTTTATTTTATGTTCTTTTTGTTCTTGTAGTTCTTATGGAGGCAATTCAGAATTATAGATACGCTAGTGAATATTTAGAAGCCATGCTATGTGAACTTGATATAGTTGGATTTATTACTTAGGACTCAAATATCCTTTTTGACTGATGCCCTGATGTGAACTCATGGGTTGAAGAAGTTTAATGTGCTGGAGTAAACGTTGATTAGTTAAGATTATGGGAAGAGGATGATTGTAGTTTTCTTGCGATCATTGGAAGGCTAAGATCCCAAGAAGAAAATAATTCAAAAGAATATGTTTAGAACAAATTTTAGAATTTTTGTAGAATTAATATGTAATCACACTTAGCTCGATTAGAAGATAGGGAGTATCCTTAAAAGATGATAGAAATTGACCTTATGGAATGTCTTGTGCAATTGGAATGTTCCAATTAGAAGGTTAGCTGTCTTTTTACATCCTAATAGATCTTTTAACTTCATTCTTTAATGAAGTTGACCCATTAATAATTTGATTCTTGGTGGAATGTGGACCTTATGCTAAATCTATGGGCATGACTGGTTTTTGTTTAATTGTAGGATGGGAATGAAGTTTTCTTCAGGATCAAGAGAAGCACTCAGCTGAAGAAACTTATGGGCGCATATTGTGATAGACAGTCTGTGGACATCAATTCAATTGCTTTTCTCTTTGATGGTCGTCGACTTCGAGCAGAACAAACTCCTGATGAGGTCTCTTGTTTTTCACTTCTACACAAACATTAAAGATGTATGGTGTGTACCTAACGAAGTGCTTTTAATTGTTTCAGCTTGAAATGGAGGATGGTGATGAGATAGATGCAATGTTGCATCAAACTGGTGGCACCCTCTGATGTGTTGAGCAGTGTGCACTGCTTGAACGAGAGAAAGTTATGTTTATTTAACTAGGAGTCAATCATTTAGGGAAAAATAGTAGAAACTTTTGCTGAATGCCAACTTATGCCTGTTTTTGGGGGTGTTGGATTTGCGGTGGGGTACCGAGTTGTGAATGTTTTGAAATATTTGACTCCTTTTAAGAGTTCTGAGATTGGCAGTCTTATATAGTTAACTGAAATTCCAAAGTGTTGGATATCCGATAGGTGATTTTGTCTTTTGCAGGGCCCTCTATGCACAAATCTTATTAACACATCAAACTTTTGTTTTGTCCAAGATAGGAGCCGTATAAGCATTTCAAAATTTTCCTCACCCACGCAATTTCTTCCTACCCGTTACAAATATGATTTGGGTTTTTATTGCAAACTTTGGAATTTTAGTTTTGTTGAATTCGGTTTTAAATTTTAAAGATAGGGGTGAAATTAGATTAATTATATATAAGATGTTTAGATCATAGCGAATCTTAACTAACCCATCAAACAGGACTTAGTCAAGTTATTCTTTTTTTTTTTCTTGGAAGTTTTATCATCACTAGGTTTTTTTGCTTCCCAGATAATTTAATTTTTTAAAATTCAGATCTTAGTTTTTTTTTTTTTTTATCTTGTACCTAGTTTTTGTTAATGAATTGTTAAGACATTTTCTATCTTTGAATTATCCACCTCTACTTAAATTCCTCGGGAATGTAAATGTTATTTTGACTTGTCGTTTTAAGGTGAAAGTTAAATTTCTACCATTTACAACGAAGATTATTATATTATAATTAGACATCATATGAAACGAAAACTAAAACTACTAAATTGACAACATGATACAAAAACAAAGTTAAAACTACTAAATTGATTAGCTATTAAGTGACAACTGGACCGACTTATAACTTCAATCAAATCTATACCAGTTATAGTGTAATTGTACTAGTGCAAATATAATTTAAGCCAAAACTTTTTCAGATTCTGTTTCCAGTCATCCAGGGAACACTTACGAAATAAACTGATAATACATTAATCGTACCCAAAATCTTCTTTCATTAATGTTATTGACACGCAAACTTACAAGCGTTGGCCTATGAATACAAGATTTGATAATATACAAGTAGGCTATATACATGCTCTTTACATTTACACTCTAAATATCAGCTACTTTTAGTACAATGTAGGTAAAGGAAAGGAGAAGAACGGATCTCAAAATCTAAATCTAAGATGTAGAAGAAAAAAATCAGTAAGGAGACGTAAATAACAAAAGAATGAAAGTATTCCGACTGCATTAAGTTAAAATGCCGCATAAACAAGAGTTATAGACAAACCTGCTCTTTCCTTTCCTTTGTGTAGTTAGCTCTCTGATGCTTGTCAAACGTGTTATGTACTCTAAAAGAGGCTCTCCTGAGCCAGATGCTTTTTCCTGCTTAGCCCGTCCTCTATCTGATGCTTGTTCAAATGCCTTTCTTTTACTTACCCTTAAGTTATTACATGACATAGCTGTTCCGATGTTTTCTCAATTCCGGCTGTAAGCCTGTAACTAACAAAATCAGCTTCAGTTACTGAAAAATAAGGGACATTCTTATTTAATTGCATATGCTATGGAAAAATATAGACAAATAATTTTAAAATTTGTGGGACATGACAAAGAGGATGCATATGCATTCAAAAATTACCCTGTAAACACAGCCAAGCACTCAATGCGCGGATATAATCAGTAATTCCTAATAAACTGTTTAAGCCACAGAGAAAACAAGAATCTGACTTTGGAAATATCATTTTCACTTCTGTCACAGAAAAGCAACCCAGTTATGATGATTGGTTTGCAAGATGACAAGCGAATAGCATGTGAAATGCACAAGGATTAAAATACATCATGTCAATAATGAATTATTGTTTGTGGATGCAAATGCTTATAATACATTGCGCCCATAATAACTAAGGATTTTGCCACATTACTAAACAGACATAGATCATCAATTTACTAACAAAACAGTATTAGACATGTTGCAAAAAGTGAGAGGGTGGGGGCGGGGTTGGACGATTGCATGCCTTGTTAAACACGCAAACCCATGCATTTACATCATGCACTTCAACCACTTACGCAAATGTTGCTGCCTTCCTCTAGGTCTACCATGCCTAGAATCTGAGGATTGTGATCCTGGTGTTCGATCAAGCAGTCTCTGAATGAAGTCTTGAATATGATTATAAATGCTGCATATCATAATGTAAATATGAACACATCTTAAATACCAGACCTTTGCTGAAATATTTGAATAATAAAAACAGAAGATTTCAAGAGTACTAAGTTAGGAGTAGTCCATTTCCAACCAAAAAAAAAGTTAGAAACACTCCATATAGAAATATCTCATTTTATTGTTAATCTAAGCAGGCGAGCATTAAAGTATGTCAAACTACAAAGTTTCATAACTCTAGAAGAATGCTTTTAAATACGAATTGAAGTAAGAAAATCAGATGAATGATTATCTTGCAATTAGGTTTCCCTTTTGAGCAAAATTTCTCAAATGGAAAGCATTTGCTTCGTTTCTGTCTAGTCTGCTAGAAAAGTTTGGTTAGTTAAGTACTCAAAACTTCTACCCATTGTTCTATTTCATCTGGGACTTATTATATTATTATAATTACACGGATTATAGGCCAAGAAAAGACATAAATTTGCCCCCAAAGATTACTGACGTAGCCAACTCCCACATATAGAAAAACACAAAAAAGTGCAGCAGATAAAAATAAATAAAGAAATCATAAATTGTTTGCACATCCATTCACCATCACCAGGCTATCAAGTTACTGCCTTGTGTGAAAATCCTAATGAAGATACTGTCAACTACTGTTTCATTTTGTTATCGACCATAACAATTTAAGATCCTTTTCTCCTTTTCTTTTCTCCAATAAATGCAGTTGGTGACAGATGGAATTCTGTGAGCTACAGATTACCCAAAATTATCAGCCAGTGTTATATTGCTTAATCATTTGTGGAATTAAACGTTAGCCATTTAGAAGGAATTGTGCTAAACAGCTAATTAAAACCTGCTCTCATAAACATGAGCAAAAAAGGGGTCATATAATCCAGTCCCACAATCCAAAATAAGGGCTAATGTACCTGAGACGATGCCGGTTGCAAGCTGTAAAGAAGGCAACAAATCCATTTAGTATACTCTTGACAGCTCGGAAGACCTGAAAAAGTAAAAGTGATATTATGAAGCCTTTATTTAACAAAACCAATATATCATCATATGCGGTCTATAGTTCCTACCTGGGAGAAAAGGTCATTCCAAAGAGAAC